CAAAGGCCCAGACAAGTTATAACTCCCTTAAGCTCACAGGGCTGAGAAGAGCAGCACTAGCCCTGACTGGCACAGGGTAGAGCCCACCAGGGCCTTTGCCCTGGAGCCTGGTCTGTCTGGCACTGTGCCTCTGACTACATTGTAAGGTGACCAACTTGTCCCAGTTTTGCCTGGGACCTAGCAGCCACACTTTGTCCCCTTCCCTGCTGAGGGCCCACCGCTGTGTGTGTTCAGGTCTCAGCAGAGCTGGCATGACAGTTCTAAGGAAATTCCACACCCACATAAACACTGGAGGAGGCCTGGCCTCTCCCTGCAGCCCCGGGCTGTTCCTGTCCCAGCCAGAGCTGTGACATCACCGGATGTGGGTCAGGCCTAGGTGGAGGAGGACTGGAGGGGAGGGGCCTCTTTGGAGCACAGGGCAGGAAGGTGGGGGCTGTCCTCAGTGTCAGGCTGGGGCTCACCTTTTCCTGTGCTTGCAGCTCTGTGGGACCTTCCCTCACCCCAGACCTCTATCTACAGTTGAAGGGACAAAGGCCAAACCAGAGGGAGCAGAGCTGAGTCCCCTCACTGTACTGGTTCAAATCTCAGCCCTGCCCCTGGGTGACTGTGTTATCTGGCCCTAGTGGCTGGGAGGGGCTAGACCATAGGTTAGAACAGATCCTTGCTTCATGCATGTAATAAAGGAAGGTCTTAGCTCATGAGACATTGGGAAATGTATGTTTGGGAAGCTTCTTATCGCATGCCCGTCCCTTCTTAGCCCAAGACCTCTCCTGTGTTATTAACACACACACATCAGTACTGGGGCTGAACTCCCTAGTGCTTTACCACTTGAACAGCACCTCCACTTCCAGCTTTTTTGGGTACTTAATTGGAGATAGGGGTCCCATGAGCTTTTCTGCCGAGGCTGGTTTTGAACCTTGATCCTCAGATCCCGGCTTCCTAAGTAGCTAGGATTTACAGGCCTGAGCCATAGATACTGTGTTCTGTGTTACCAAGATTTCCGTGAAATGTCATTGTGGGGACAACGCCGCTTCCTGCTCCATGCCCAGCTGCTTGCCTGAGTCACTTTTCTGTCCTCTCCAGGAATGTGGGTGAGGCAGCCCTGCTTCCTCCCTGTTCCCTCACCCACACTCCTGCCTTTAGAGCCAGATTTCTTTTGGGAGGGGGTGGGTGGGTGGCAGGAGGCAGAGGTTTGCTGCTACTGGGCCGGCCATTCCAATAGATTGCAGTGTTTGACCCCAGAGAAGGTGGCAGAAAATGCCTTGTAGACCCGACACCTGGAGAATCAAGCGCTCATTTCCCTGTGACTCAGTCTGTAGGAGCCTGTTTTTCACCACTCGAGTTTATAGATAGATGAGTTGCACTTAGCCGTACACCCTCGTCAGAATTAAATCATTAGGCAGAAAAAAATTTGACTCAGCTTTCTGGAAAAAGGTCCTTATGTGGGCTCTGGTTTCCATGACAACAGCCTGGTTTCTAACCATCCTTGTGGACTGGCGAGCTGCCTCCTCCCCTCCCCGCCCAGGCCCTGAAGTCACAGCTGAGCTAACCTGCTGTCTCATCCTGAAGGACACCAAATGCAGCCATCGCTTCCCGATTTTTCTTCCTGAGAGCCTCTGTGGATAGCTCCTGCTGTTGACAGATGTTTTTGTTGTTTGGAAGCTATTAAATTTCTAACCCTTGGATACAGCCACTGAACGCTCATTAACTCTGGGGGGAAACGGTGTGTTTGGAGCTATACACACAACAGAGGTTTTGTGTTGTGCTGAGACGAGGTTTGGATGCATGGAGAGAGGTGTGGGAACCTGTCCTTCTTGAAGGACCTGAGTGTCCCCTTTTGGTTTCCTGCCAGGTGTGGACACAGCTCCTGGACTAGCAATAAGTTCTCAGTAGATGAATTTCTAGTGGTTGTTTTTAATTTCCCCTCAGTAAAGGCCAAGAGTGGGACCGAGGAGTCTTTTTCATCTTTAGGACAAAGGCTTCCAGGCCCCTCTGCCTAGTCCCCACTGTGTTTGGAAGGGGGCGTTTGTGCTTTGTGTTGGCAAGGACTACAGGTAGGAACTTCTGGTCTGACCCTTATCTTCCTCTTTCCATTTTACAAATGAGGTGTGGAGGCCCAAGTGGGGAGACTTGCTTGAGGTCCTTAACTGTTTAATAGCTTCTTTCTTCAGCCCAATGGACCCCTTTGCTCCGCTTCTTCTCAGAGCCCTAACCTAGTGGTTGGGAAATGGAGGTGATAGTTCACCAGATCCATAGACCTTCAGTCACGGGGCTTGAACTCAGGGCCTGGCTGCTGTCCCTGAGCTACTCCTTTGAGCCCTGAACATGTAACTTAAGTACCTGTTATTGGGGTACAGCACATCAGATCCATGTACAATAAACTCCAAACCTTCCCCTGTGGTCCAGCCTCAACTTTATCCACCTGGGACCTCCCTTATTACAGACTTTGGCTCACACCTGCTGCTTTTTTTTTTTTTTTAAATGTGAAACTGAATCTTTCAAGTCCTTTTAAGCTCCTTATTTTGATTAAGTCACCCAGGCACACGGTAAATACTGTATACTCCCTGTGGACCGTCCTCTTGAGCGCCCCCCTCCCCAAGCGGAGTCCTGCAGTCTTCTTCTTCATCAAGGAGAATTCTAGATTTGTGTAAACACCGATGTTTAGATGGAATGTTTTGGGGAAGATGCGTGCTGGCTCAGGAGCAGTGCCGTGTTACTTTGATGGCATGGCTTAGAAAACCCATGAAAGGTGCTTTGTCTTTTTATTTTTTTTAATTTATTTTTAATTTATTTATGTATTTATTTATTTTTTGGGTCCGGTCGTGGGGCCTGAACTCCCGGCCTGGGCGCTGTCCCTCAGTTCTTCAGCTCAAGGCTAGCACTCTACCACTTGAGCCACAGCGCCACTTCCGGCATTTTTCTTTTTGCCTATGTGGTGCTGGGGAATTGAACCCAGGGCCTCAGGCATGCAAGGCAAGCGCTCTACCACTGAGCCACCTTCCCAGCCCCATGCTTTGTCTTTTTAAATGTCTTTAAAAACTTTAAACTGGTGCTAGATAACCCAAGGCCTTGTGCATCCTAGGCAGGTTCTGAGCTCTCTCCAGCAGTCTCAGTCTTCTTTATTTCCTTTCCTCCTTTGGCAGTACCTCTTGAGCCACACCCCCAGTGTTTAGTTTGTTTTTCAAATAGGCTCTTTACCTGGACTAGTCTTGGACCATGAGTCTCCTCCCTCCACCTCCTGAGTAGCCGTGATTACAGGTGTGCACTACCATGCCTAGTCTGTGCCAGCACACCTGGCTAGCCTTGTTCTGAATGGCTGCAGACTGTTCCAAGGTGCGGCTGTAATGTATTATTAGATCTGTAGTCCTATGGTTGGACATCTTGAGCTTGTTTTGTTACTGAGACTATTGAATACGTTTCTGGGAGGAAGCTATTGGGCCCTGTGGACACATGGGGTGTTTCCATGTAGGACTTACTTGTTCAAGAGAAGGTATACCTCTAAGGGCTCTAAGGGCTGAGCCTAACTCAGGTTACACCCCCCCCCCCCCCCCCATCAGTCATAGGACCTGAACTCAGGGCCTGGGAGCTGCCCCTGAGCTCTCGTGCTCAAGGCTCGTTTTCTAACACGTTGAGCCATTGGTCTACTTCCAGTTCTTGAGTGGTTAATTGGAGATAAAAACTCACAGACTTTCTTGCCCAGGCTGGCTTTGAACTAGGATCCTCAGTTCTCAGCTTCCTGAGATGGCGTGAGCCACTGGCACCTGGTTCCTGTGTGTGTGTGTGTCTGTTTGTGTGTATGTGTCTTGTGTGTGTGTGTAGGTCCTGGGGCTGGAACTCAGGGCCTGATGGGGCTGTCTCTGAGCCTCTTTATGCTCAAGGATAGCACTTTATCACTTGATCCACAGCACTACTCCCAGCTTTTTTCTGAGTAGTTTATTGGAGATATGGGTCTCACAGACTTTTCTGCCCTGGTTGGCTTCGAATTAGGATTACAGGTGTGAGCCACCAGCACCCGGCAGGCTGCATCTTTTTAGTGAGCTTCTTGACCTCACTAGCTGCTCTGTTCTTTCGGGCCAACCCGGTGGGCTCCTCAGGCCTTTGTTTCCATGTCAGTGGGATGGTCCCCAGATTGTGGAGTCTTTCTGCTTTGCATGCCTTCCCTCAGGCTGGGTCTCCTGAACCTTTGTTCAGGATTTTTCTGAAGCCTGCTGCCCCTGTGTGGACTAAGCTGCCCTTGTTTCCAGTTGAAGAGGATCATGGGAGGCTGATGCTGCGGCTCCATTGGGCCCTGTCACCTCCATCAGCAGACAGAGGAGAGACAGAGATGCGCACGTACACAGCTCCTCCTTTGGGATTGTCGCCTCCTCTGCTCTGCCCCCCTTTGTATGGCTCTGGCCGCCATTCGTCAGTCTGGCCATCCGGGCTGTGGGATGGATGGACTCCAGCCCCATTTGCAGGTGGATGTGGGTGGTGGGAGAATTTGTATTTGACATCATGGGACAGTGAACTCAAGGGCTGACTCAGGAGCGTGGTGGGGGCTTTCCAGGTGAGAATGAGCGAGTGTCTCCAGAGGAGGGTCTTAAGCAGGGTACCCGCGGAGGTGTGCCAGTTGGCCTTGTCAGGGGAGGGGTTGCTGCCATGGTCGGTGGCATGGTTGGCTTCTTCCATGCGGGTCCACCCCTTGCGGTCTCTTGGTTTTGCCATGTAGTGGGGGAGTTGGGCCGAGTTCTAGGGGCAAGAGTGTTCCTGGGGTTCATGGGACAACCCTTGGCCTGCTGGTCATGACCTTGAGCTCAGGGACAGCACCCAGGCCCCGGGTTCAAGCCCAGAACCCATAACAACAACAAACTAAATGAAAATAAAAAATGTGAATGTTAAGGCTGAAGAAAGACTGGCACCCGGCGGGGGGGTGGGGGGGGTTAATACTGAAAGAGGAGGGGGCCCCGAGAAGACTTGAGCTTCTACTGCTTTTAAAAATCAGGGGTGCTGTGTCTTTTCAGATCCTGGCTGTATGGAGAGAACGGCCCAGAAGCGCAAGTTCCCCAGCCCGCCACACTCCTCCAACGGCCACTCACCACAAGACCCCTCGGCTGCCACCAGCCCTATTAAAAAGAAAAAGAAACCCGGCTTACTCAACAGTAACAATAAGGAGCAGGTAACAGCCACTGGGCGTGGCATCAGCACCAGGGGACAGGCCAGCCAGCAGCCCACAGCTCCCCTAGCATTCTAGAACATTCATTTAGCAAGCTGAGCCCATCTGCCCACCATGGAAGGACAGCTCAGAATGGACACCTCCCCCTCTTCCACCCCACACCCCTCCGGAAATTGCCAGTGGGTTGTTGAGATCTGTTTTGGGGACAGAGCACAGTGACCCAGATGGGGTGAGGAGATGGTTCTGGAAAGGGGTCAAGCAGGGCTTTCCCTTAGGTTGGTTTTATTCCTACCGTGAGGACTGAGTTCCCTGCAGGCCAGGCCAGTAGCAGGGATGCCCAGCTCTCTGGAGAGGACCTTGCTTCCTGCCTGGCTCATATTTTTTTCTCATCTGTAAAAGGAAGGACTCTAGGCTGTGGGGGAAAAGCATTTCCTCAATTAGCCCCACTGCACCCTGAGCGCGTGTGTGCCTACGTGCGTGTGTGCACACATGCACACACACATGCACACACACACACCCCTCACACACCCCTCCTTGGTGGCCGCCACTGGCAGCTAGATGGGGAGATGCACATAATCTGGGATCTTGTCTACAGAGCCTTCTAGTTTGAAGGATGTCTCCAATGCAGGCTGGATGGTCATCTAAGTAGGGAAACCAGTCAGGTTAGTGAGTGCACCAGCTGGTGTCCCTGTCTCCTCTGCACTGGGAAGTCAGGCCCCCCAGAGTTGTCATGTTCTGGATCGTCCAGTGTTGAGTGTTGAATGGCTAGACCATGAGGTTGAATGAAACAGCTAATTAGTTGCTTTCACCAGGAGATACCTAGCATGGGTAAATGCCCTGACCGTGAGTGCAGAAATCTATTTCTTCTCTCAAATATGATGATGATGATGATGATGATGATGATGATGATGATGATACTGGGGCTTGAGCTCAGGGCCTTGAGCTCTTCCCTTGGCTTTTTTACTCAAGACTGGCCCTCTACCACTTGACCACTACCCTTACTTCTAGCTTTTCTGTTGGTTAGTTGAAGATAGGAAAGAATCTCATGGATTTTTTTTTTTAACCCAGGCTGGCTTTGAACCAGGACCCTCTGATCTCAGCCTGCTGAGTGGCTAGGTTTATAGGCAGGAGTCACCAGCATCTAGCTCCATTCCTCAACTTACATCATAGGACTTTGCTCTGTGGGTGTGGCCAACCTCTGAGCCTCTCAGCCACCACAGTGGGGTGCTCAGCTTGCAGGACTTTGTGACACACCACCAGCTCCATGACACATGGTAATAACACCTTTAAACTAAGCCAGGCACTTGGCCCAGTGCCGTAATCATGCCCTGTGCCATGACATGAGCGCTGTTTGCAGAAGCCTTCCAGACCCCTGCTGTCCCATGCTGCCCCCCACAAGCCATGGATGGCTCATGGACATGCAGGTAGCAGTGCTGACCGGCCACCTGTGTTGCCGATTTCCCTAATGTCCTGTGGCTGCCTGTGGCGAAGGTTGCCTGCCTGTTGGATGGCCCAAGCCTCATCAGTCACCATCTCATGGGTGGAGCCTGGAGAAGCTGTTGGGGCTTTGCAGTTGGAGAAAAAGATGTGATCATGTTGAGAATGTTAATGTGGAGGCAGAACTGGCTCTGCCCCACTGCTGGGGTTAACACAGGGTCATCTTAGTGTTTGTGGCAGCCCGTAACTGGCTCCCTTGGACAGGGAAATGAGGTTCAGAGAGGTTCAGTCACCTCCTCAGGGTCTCAGCTAGTGAGACACCATTTAAGCTGAGCTCTGCTTATTGGCTTAGAAGTTGGTGACAAGGTGTAGGGACACTAGCCATTTCTTAGCTGTCAGGACTAAAGATTCAAAAAGACACACAGATGTCACAGCAATGGGGAGCTGTGGGACCCAGCAGGGCTGGGGTGCAAGGACATACATACCCCTGTGATCTGCAGTGCTAAGGGAGAGGGGAGAGGGGCTCTGCCTGCCCACATGGCTCTTTCCCGCCATGCCATCTGCTCCATTCCTGGGAGCTCTCAGTTGCTTTGTATTGGAGTTCCAGTGAAATCACAGAATAGGGCTGTGTGCGAGCACTCCGGTGAGGCAGATGATAGCTTTGCTTCTCCCAGCCCCAACTCCAGGGCACGTATTTCATAGGCAAGGATGGAAGGAGCCATGGGCCCTTGGCCCCACAACTCTGTGTTCAGAGCAGTCATCTCTTCTCTGGAGCCTTTTGTTCTGTGTCCTTGATTGATTGCTCACCAGCCTTTGGGGATCTTGGATTTCTGCGTTCTTGGGAAAAGCTTAGACTGTTGGAGTTGCTGTGACAGAATACCATAGACTTGGCCCAGCAAAGACACACTTGTTTCTTGCAGTTCTTCCTGCTCATCTGTGATCTGTCAGGGTGTATGGGGCACTTTGGGCGGGGCAGGGAAGAGAGCTTGTAAACACTTTTTTTGCGGGGGGGGGGGGGTCTATTGTGGGGTTTGAACTCAGGGCTTAGGCACTGTTCTTCTCCCTGAGGTCTTTCACTCAAGGTTAGTGCTCTACTACTTTGAGCCATAGCAGCGCTTCCAGTTTTGTGGTGGTTAGTTGGAGAAAAGGGTCTCAGAGATTTTCCTAGGCTGTCTTTGAACAGTGATCCTCAGATCTCACCTTCCTGAGTAGCTAGGATTACAGGTGTGAGCCACTGCCACCTGGCCTTTGTTTTTTTGTTTTTTGTTTCTTTTTGTTTTTGTTTTTTGGAAACAGGGTTTTCCTATGTAGTCCAAGTTGGCCTTGAACTTTCAATTCTCCTGCCTTTGCTTCCGCAGTGCAGAGATTATAGGCATGTACCACCACACCTGGCTGAGGAGCCTGTTTTGCTTTTGTTTTTTGTTTTTGTTTTTTTTGGTCGGTTTTGGGGCTTGAACTCTGGGCCTGGACTCTGTCCCTCAGCTCTTCAGCTAGCACTCTACCACTTGAGCCACAGCGCCACTTCTGGTTTTCTGAGTTGTTTTTTTTTTTTTTTTTTTAAGAGATAAGTCTTATGGACTTTCTTGCCTAGAAGGGCTTTGAACTGCCACCCTCAGATCTCAGCCTCCTGAGTAGCTAGGATGATAGGCGTGAGCCACCAGCATCCAGCTAGGAGCCTGTTTTTATAGATAAAGTTTTATTGGCACCCAGCCACATTCATTTTAGGTGTGGGGTCTGATTTTACACTACAATACTTGCAGTAGAGACTGGCCTGCCAAGGCTCACCTGTTTGTTTTCTTTATGGAGCCCTGTTTGGTTTTAGCAGCCTCCGCCAGGATAGGCGCAGGTGTTTCAGGAATGAGTGAGCAGCTCTTGGCCATTTTCTTGTTAAGCAACCCTGTGGCTAGGGCTGGGGAATAGGCACGTTGGTTCTTTAACCTGTAATTATCTCCTCACAGCGTATGTCGCAGCCTGTCTGCTTTGCTGTCAGGCTGGTTACACGCCTTACGTATGAGGTGGAGTAGGGATTGTAATTCATTTTACCTGGAATGATTTACTCTTCTTTATGGATCTCTCCATGTGTAGCTGGGCACTGGTGGCTCACGCCTGTAATCCTAGCTACTCAGGAGGCTGAGATCTGAGGCTAGCCTGAGCAGGAAAGTCCATGAAACTCTTATCTTCAATAAGCTACTAGAAAAAGCTGGAAATGGTGTTGTGGTTCAAGTGGTAGAGCGATAGCCTAGAGTACAAAGAGGCTCAGGGACTGTGCCCAGGCCCCAAATTGAAGCCCCAAAACCAGCAAAAAAAAAGTCCATATTTGTTATCAGATTATGGAGTTGGAAATACTTAGAAGAAGCAGATAGGAGAATAATATCTGGTCTGATCAACAAGGAGAGTAACGAGGCAGATCTGCTCTGTGCGTGCGTGCTGGTACTGGGGCTTGAACTCAGGGCCTGTGCACTGTCCCTTAGCAGTTTCACTCAAGGGTGGTGTTCTACCATTTGTGCCACAGCTCGACTTCTGGCTTTTGGGGGGTTCCTGCCGAGGCTAGAAAGATCCTCCAGATCTCAGCCTTCCAAGTAGCAGGTGAAAGTCATGAGTAGCAGTGGCAGCTAGGCCTCTTGAAGAGGGTGGGGTAGTCCAGTTGTCCTTGTGGCTCCTGGGGACACCCACTCCCAAATGGGCCGGGGAGGAGCCTAGAGGAGACTTAATTTTGAGGGATCAGTTCTCTGGATGGTGTTCAATCCTCAGCACTCAGACTACAAAAACAATTAAAAAAAAATATCCCAGTTGTAGTCAGCCACCCAGCCACCTGGGTGGCAGATTAGGGGAGTAGTAGCTGTTAGATTCCCTCACATTTTGTCATTCTATTATTTATTTGTTTGAGTTGTTGCTGTTCGATTTCCCCCACATATTATTATTTCATTTCTATTTGTTATTTTATGTATTTATTAATGAAGCAAATAGGGTCTCCCAGGCTGGCCTTCAACTCCCAATCCTCCTGCCTCAGCATCCCCAGGGCTAGGATTACAGCCATATATTACCATCCCAGGACTTATTGAGGTCTTCATGGCTTCCCTGTACTATTACTAACATTAGAAGGTAGTCAGGTTGCCAGTCAGATTTACCACTCTATTACAATGCTTGTGGTAAAATCCTAAGATGCCCCACTTCAATTAGCGGTACTTCTACTTCCTTCATCCGTAAAGTTTTTCCTTCTCTTCCCCCCCTGTGGAAAGCAGCTAGCTCTGCAGACTTTCTGGATGGCAGTTTTCAGCCCAGGATAGTTTTGCGCTCCGGGGAATGGAGCACATGGCACTGTCACCATGGGTGACAGTGGTTTGTGTGCATGATGGTCTCACTAGGTCTCACGGGTGCTGTTGCCCATAGGAACTGCCCAGCAGTCACTGGTGTTAAGCTTGAGAGTCCTGACCAGGTGCCATTCTGTCCCCTCCTGCAGTCCTCCTACTTTTCAGAGCTCCAGCTTTCTCAAGATGGCGTCTTGCTGTCTGGCCCTGGCTGGCCTCCATCCTACAGCTTCCTGCTTCAGCCTCTTGAGTGTTGAGATGATAGCCAGGATTGTTTTTCTCCATCGTGTTCCTCTGAATTACAGAGCATGCTGTCCGAAGGGGTCATTCTTGGGTGGTGTCTACAGAGGAGAGAGGTGGCTGGGAGACCAAGTTCAAGTCCTGGCTCTAGGCTCAGATGTCAGATTAGTTGTTTGTGGCTGAATTTCCCCACCTGTTATAAAAAACTAATAGTTGGGGCTGGGAAGGAGGCTCAGTGGTAGAGCGCTTGCCTTGCATGCCTGAGGCCCTGGGTTCAATTCCTCAGCACCACATAAGCAAAAAGAAAAAAAGCCAGAAGTGGTGCTATGGCTCAAGTGGTAGAGCGCTAGCCTTGAGCTGAAGACCTGAGGGACAGCACCCAGGCCTAGAGTTCAGGTCCCACAACCAGACCAAAAAAACAAAAACAACAACAAAAAAAACTAATAATATCTACCCCACTCCATACCTGTCAGGTTTACCAGGAGAAAGTGAAGTGCGGATGCTGGGTGCTAGTGGCTTACGCCTGTAATCCCTGCTACTTAGGAGGCTTTGATCTGAGGCTCACAGTTCAATGTCAGTCAGGGCAGGAAAGTCCATGAGACTCTTAACCTCCTATGAACCACCAGAAAACCAGAAGTGTCGCTATGGCTCAATGTAGTAGAGCACTAACCTTGAATGAAAGAGCTCAGGGACAGCGCCCTCGAGTTCAAGCCTCATGACCAACAACAAAAACAGAAAGGGGCAGCCTGGGCCAAGACATGGCAGGCAGGGCACCCTGGGAAGAAAGGTCAGTGTGGTGATGTCATCCCTTAGAAAGCAGGTAGAGTTCAAAGGTGAATGACACAAGAACGTGAGTCTGGGCTCACATAGCTAATTGCTTGTGTGACAGGAGAGCAGAGGTTTAGAGAGATTGGTACATGAGCTTCTGTGAGGCTGCCAGACATTTTGGGAACATTAAAGCCTCACAAATAAAAGCTGAGAACAAGACACAGGCTGCCTGCAGTGTCTGCTTTTAGAGCCCGGAGCTCCAGGCTTCTAAAGTGAGGAAAAAGAGGTGGTAGCTCATTCCTGTAGCCCCAGCTACTTGGAAGGCAGAGGTCAGCCTGAGCATCAATTAGGGAGGCCCCATTTTAACAAGTAATTTGAGTATGATGGCTTGTGTGTAGAATCCCAGATTTGCTTAAGGTGTAGTTAAACCGTGGGCTCTGTCCTTTGCCCCCCAAAAAGAGAATCTATCTGAAAAAGTAATCAAAACAAAAAAATTGGGATGGGGATGTGGCTCAAGTGGTAGAGCATCTGCTTAGCAAGCTGTTAGGCCCTGAATTCAAATCTCCAGTATCAACAAAAAAAGAAAGTCAAAGGTCAAGTACGTACCTAGAATGTGTGAGGCCCTGGGTTTATCTCATGGCCACAAAGAAGACAACAAAAAGCAAGAAGAAAAGCACAAGTATTAGGTATGAACAGACAGGACTGATGTTTCCGAGAAACAATGTGATTTTCAGTCAGTAAACAAAAAACTATTTGAATTGTTTAAATATGAAGCCGGTCTCAACACTGTATCAAGGTGCCCGTGTTCAAACCATCATCCTCTAGAACATCTAGGCAAAGATCCCCTCTTGTAAACACCAAATACTACCCGCAGAGGCCTTCAGAGAGGAAGCGAAGCTTTTCATCCCGGGACCACAAAAGAAACTTGTACAGTGGTGTGCATTAAAAGGTAGATAACAGGAGCCGAGCCAGGTGGGTGGCTCACGGCTATAATCCCAGCTGCTCAGGCAGCTGAGGAGCAAGCAAGACCCAGAGCCAGCCGAGGAAGGAAAGTCCTCAATTCTATCTCCAATGAACCAACCAAAACCTAGGCTAAAGGTAGAAAAAGCATCCCCCCCAAACAGACAAGGGTCAGTAATAGGGATGTGGCTAAACCATCCTAGTTTTTGTTAAGGATTGGAGGTTGTAGCTTTCTGAAGGTCACACAGCAGGTCACACAGCTGGTCACCAGGTTGACATGGGAGCCACACCTCCACTTCTGGCCTTTTATATTCTTTTTTCTTTTTGGTAGTTTACTAGAGATAAAAGTCTCAAGGTTGGGGCTGGGAAGGTGGCTCAGTGGTAGAGTCCTTGCCTTGCATGCATGAGGCCCTGGGTTCAATTCCTCAGCACCACATAAGCCAAAAAAAAAAAAAAAAAAGCCAGAAGTGGTGCTGTGGTTCAAGTGGTAGAGCGCTAGCCTTGAGCTAAAGAGCTGAAGAGCTGAGGGACAGCGCCCAGGCCCAGAGTTCAGACCCCACGACCAGCAAAACAAACAAACAACACCCCACCCCCACCCCCCCCACCCCCCCCACAAAAGTCTCACAGATTTTCCTGGGCTGTCTCCTCCTAAGTAGCTTGGATTATAGGCATGAGCTACTGGTACCTGGCTCACATTGGTATTTGATGGACTTTTTGTTGTTGTTGTTGGTTGTGGAGCTTGAACTCTGGGCTTGGGCACTGTCCCTGCGCTCTTCAGCTCAAGGCGAGCACTCTACCTCTTGAGCGACAGCGTCACTTCTGGTTTTCTAGTGGTTTATGGGAGATAAGAGTTTCACGGACTTTACTGCCCTGGCTGCCTTTGAACTGTGATCCTCAGATCTCAAGCCTCCTGAGTAGCTAGGATTACAGGCGTGAGCCACTGGCGCTCAGCTTGATGGACATCTTTTTTTGGGGGCGGGGGGGGGAGGGGTCCGGTCGTGGGGCCTGAACTCTGGGCCTGGGCGCTGTCCCTCAGCTTTTCAGCTCAAGGCTAGCGCTCTACCACTTGAGCCACAGAGCCACTTCCAGCTTTTTTCTTTTTTCTTATGTGGTGCTGAGGAATGGAACCCAGGGCCTCAGGCATGCAAGGCAAGCGCTCTACCACTGAGCCACCTTCCCAGCCCCTGATGGACATTTTTGTACTAAGTTTTTTCACTGTGATTTCTGTGTTTGGAGTGTGGCTTTTATTGTATATTGTACAGGGTTTTAGAGGAACAGTTCTCATCTGACATGTTGGGATAGGAAGAGTTCTGGTTCCCATGGATGGGTGCAGATAAGAACTGTGTCTCTTGTTTGGAGGGGACCTGTCCTCTCACCAATCCAGCCTTAGGAATCTGTACTTTCTGCGCCACAGGTGGACTTCAAAAACAAAACACACAGTCATGGTTTGTTGACCCAAATCCGCCTTCTCCAGTTGCCTGTAACTTAGAGAATCTGGGTAAATTGCCGTACACGTTAACTGTGGAAGACTGAACATGTATATACTGGGCTCTTGATCCTATTAGTAAGATGGATAACCATAGTTATCCATGGAGTTGGATTCACACCCTTGTTCACCCACTGAATGTCAACATAGCACCCCAAGGTTAGCCGTTGCCAGCTTCATTTTACAGATGAGAAAACTGGGGGTTGTGAAGAACCACAGCCAGGGTCCTCCAGCTAGCTGGTTATTAATGGTAGAGATAAAAAGCCAGGTATTCTTAGGGCTGCCCAGTAACTTGATGCTGGCCTTTAAGGCCTGGCCTTTCCAAATAACAGGTTGGGAGGACACCCCTCCCCTTCCCCAATCTAACCGGTCCCTCATGCTACCTGGAACAGAGTGACCCGAGCTAGTGTGGCTGGTGGGGAGTGGGGGGGATGAGGCACTGTGATTTACTTGTTCAAATTCCTGCTGATGATGCACATTTGTTTTGAAACCCCGCCTGTCTTTCTTGCCTACATTTCAGTCAGAACTAAGACATGGTCCGTTTTACTATATGAAGCAGCCACTCACCACAGACCCTGTTGATGTTGTACCGCAGGATGGACGGAATGATTTCTACTGCTGGGTCTGTCACCGGGAAGGCCAAGTCCTTTGCTGTGAGCTCTGTCCCCGGGTTTATCACGCTAAGTGTCTGAGACTGACATCGGAACCAGAGGGGGACTGGTTTTGTCCTGAATGTGAGGTTAGTTCCCTGACGAATGAATTCACCTTACCTGCCTCGTTTCCTCTTCCTTTCTCTTTCTTCCTTTCAGTTTGACATTTGCACATAATCCCAAAAGGGGGGAAAAAAAAGAGAAATTTCTGGCCTTCTTGTCTGCTCTGTCCGAGCCGCCCCTCCCCTCCCTGCGGACCAGCGTCTGCCCTGGCTGCCGCCCAGCCGCTCTTGGGAAGATGATTTGCCTTGTTGTCATGGCTTCCGCTGCTTCACGAATCCCCGGATGGCTTTGAAATCTGCAGCTGCCTCTGCTCCTTCTGTAGCAAATGCCTGGGAAGTGAACTTCTAAACCTTGTTCCTGCGTGTTTTGGGAGAGATCTGGTGTTCTGTCCCCCTTTCTTGGATGTTTTTCCTGCTGCCTCATTGAATCGCCGGTAGGAGTCAATCCAGGAAGACCAGTTTTGGGGTGATGCCTGCGCGGCAGCCATCTGATGCATCTGTTCACCCAGCACACATTCCTTGGAACACAAACAGAACTGCATGGATGACGACCCTCCCAACAGAAGACAAGTGCCTGAATAAAGTAAATGAGAGGGGAGAAAAAACAAATCAAACGAGACATTTCAGCAGACACCGAGTCTCCTTGACAGGCCCAGGCCTGGAAGCCACATTGCCATGGGAAGACAGTGGAAGAAGAGCTGAGTGGGCAGAGAGCCTCGCAGCCACCTGGGAACACCTTGCCCGCATCCTGGCCTGCCTTGATGGTACCCCCACCCCCTCCCCCCCCCGGTGTCTTCCTGCCACAAAGCCCTGAGCCACTGCTCGAGATTTACCCTGTGTTTACGTGGCTTCCGCTTTGGCAGTGGGTTTTTTTGAATGCTGGAATGTTCGTTTACCAAGTTAATCGTGTAGAGTGTCTCTTGCCTTCCATAGTACCTCTCAGATGAGGAAGCTTTCTGTGTATGAAATGGAAAATCGCCCAGGTACCTTTAGTGTAATAAAAATCCCCAATCGAGTCCCAGGATTAAGTCTCTGGTGCCACATCTGTGCAAAGGAAGGAGAAGGATAAGAGAGAGAGGAGAGCAAATTAGACCTCTAGGCCTTGTCACTAGAGGACAGTAGAGGCTCCCTGACTTGTGACTTCTCACCAGACCCGCTGTCTGTACCTTCTGAGACTAATGTCCTCCATGACCTTACTCTCCACACGTGAGTGCCTGGGAGCCTTCACCAATTTGCCTTTGTGTTGACCAGCTCTTCACTGACAGTGCCAGGTAGACGCTCTGCGGGGTAGATTGTCCTCTGTGGATGATGCTAGTTTCTTGTGAAAGGTGGCCAACACTCTACAACTTGTAATCCTCCCATGTGGCAGGAGTCCCTAGGGAGGACCAGCCTCCCCATCCCCACGGCCTTGATCGCCATGGAGGACTCAGCTCTGTGGTGTGTGTAGACAGATTCCTAGGATTACAGGTGTGAGCCACCAGCACCAGGTTCCTTGCTTACCCATCGCTCCCACTGACTTGTCGTTGGGTTTACTGGTGAGCGTCTGTGGGGACGGCAGACCCTGTCAGGCAGGGGGAAGGTGTCAGATCGGGAAGGAGGGAGGGAATGACAGGTGAGCAGTAGCTGGAAACATGCTGGGTTCAAGGAATACTTCATCTATACTTCAGAGGCCCCTGTTTCTTCCAGGTATTATTTGGCAAAGCCAGCAGCTGGAAGGCTGGGAGGCTTCAGGCCCCTGCCATCAGGCAATTAGATCGCGTGCCTTGTACTGTTCTCAGCCAATCAGTGTCTTGTCTGCCAGACACAGGAGACGGAAGGGTGGTGAACTTCCACCTCTCAGTGCCCAGTGCTCTAAGAGCTTTTCCTGATGATAATGAAGTCTCCTGGTTTCATTGTCACTGCCACCCAAATCCTTAACATGTGGTTCCAGACTTACACAGAAGAGCCCCTTATCTGGGTTGCTGAGACTCTTATCTGGGTTGCTTAAGATGGGAACTTCTTTTACAAAATGACAAGTTATTGCCTGTGGATGTAGACAGTGAGGCTGTGCCCCTTTGAGAGATTTCCAGAGCAGCCTGAATAGGTTCCCATTAGTAGGGACAGAACAAAGTCCTATTTAACTATTGGCACAGCTCTGTCCTCTGAAGCTCAGTCTGTTTGTGACTGCCCTGTTAATTTTAGATGCCCTGCCAGGCTCCTGAACGCAGGACCCCTGGAAGATGCAGACAGTGAGCAGGGAGGTCACCTTGGTGAACCTGTGGGCCTTCCTTTTACTTCCCAGTCTTGAGATCCAAGGGTTACAGCACTGGTGATTGTCCAGATGGCATCTGCCCACACCTTTCTCAGATCAGCTCCTGTCTCCATGAGCTAGGAAAACACCTGGCTCGACATGGAGATGCTATCCTGTTTTACTAACCAATGGTATAACATACAAATGCTGTTCATTTTACTGACCAATCCAGTACAACATGCAAATGATGTCTTCTTTATTGGCCAATCCAGTACAAGATGCAAATACTGTTTGTACAAGTTGGTCCCAGAGATGGATACCTCCTTGCCCAGCTAAACAGCTCTTCATGTTTAGATGGGAATTTTTTTTTAAGGGGGAGAAAAAGTAGAAGGAGAATTAATGCATGGCTAGTCCTGTCTGTTTTTCTAACTGCATCTGTGTATTATGATTTTTGACTTGTAGAAGATTACAGTAGCAGAGTGCATCGAGACCCAAAGCAAAGCCATGACAATGCTCACCATTGAACAACTGTCCTACCTGCTCAAGTTTGCCATTCAGAAAATGAAGCAGCCCGGGGTAAGGAGAAAGCTCCTGCTGGTGCAAGCGTAAAGCAGACGCTACCCTTCCTTCTGTTCTTTTAGCATCTCACATGGTCTGTGGAAGCCTGGCTTCTCGGGCAAACTCCGCACACTCTTTGGACCTGCCTGGATATTCACACTCATTCAGAAACGTAAATGCCATGGTATTCTGTTGATTGATTCTCAGCAGTGAGTACGTTGTGTGCCTTTGGAGGTGGGGACTTCAATTTCTGGTGGACTAGGAAATGAGACTTCATTTCCTGTTGGCCGGGGAAGAATTTTCTGCTCTTTTCCTGGCATTTGTGAAACTCTCCTCCCATGAGAAACAAGTGTCACCCAGTCTATTTATAAGCCAAGGCCCCATGATGCAACCTTCTAGTAAACTGCCACGGGGACATTTCCACGAAGGGTAGGCTCTGGATGGCCCATTCTTTCAGTCTGGAGATGGGATGTGGAGGGTAGTTTCGGTACCTTTTGGGAAGTCTGATGGCTGGGCAACACCTTTCAGCCGTCAAGGTGCACAATGTAGTGTGCTGGCTGGAGCATCTATCCATCCCTCACTGATCTGGCTAATGCTGGGGCTTGAACATAGGCCTTTGTGTTCTCCCTTGGTCAGTTTCTCAAAGCTGACACTTTCTACCACGTAAGCCACACTTCCATTTCCAGCTTTTTGCTAGTTAGTTGGAGATAAGAGTCTCTCACAGACTTGCCTGCCCAAGCTGGCAATAAACTTTGATCCTCAGATCTCAGCCTCTTGAGTAGCTGTAGGATTACACAGGTGAGCTACTGGCACCTAGCCTGAAGTATGCTTTTAGTATACAGCAGATTGACTTTCATTCTGGATAAAAGAAGGCTTATGTACAGATGCTAGCCTGCTAGAAGCCTTGCTTGTGTAGAAGCTTAGTATTTCATTAAATCCTCTAGATCACTTGAACTGATAAGTAGGTACCACAAATCTACAACGAACCAGGCTGGTTCCTTGAGTAGATTCAAGTAGGGCCTAAGCAAATGGATCAGGATAAAAATCTTATCTGTTGGCATTGGTGACTGTGTGCTGTGGTATCGCTCGTTATAGCTGGATTTCATCCTCAGTTTTGCTCCTGGGCGTGTGCAGGGGTGTCCACTATTCTTCAAGGTCCCTGTCTAATGTATTGATAGATCATGTGTCAGCCAGGGGCAAGAACAGAACCTGTAAGTTGGATCTATGCCACACGAAGCAAACGACAAAACCAAAACAATTTCAGCTGGGCCTGGGATGATTTTCAGGACAGTGCAGGTTTCGAGGATGGACCCATTTGGAGCTTTCCAAGGTCCTCTATGATGGCTATCTTTGTGCTGTATTCTGAACCATCTTTCAGAACCCCTGGTTGTGTGCAGTTCTGGGCCTTCCATAGCAGTGAAGGGACCACGCCTGTGTGTCTTCTCTCTTGCAGACAGATGCGTTCCAGAAGCCTGTGCCGCTGGAGCAGCATCCTGACTATGCTGAATACATTTTCCACCCCATGGATCTTTGCACATTGGAAAAGGTTGGCTTCCATCAAAGAGCCTGGCTGCTGAGCCCAGGGCTCAGAGTCCTCCCTCCCTTCCCATCCCCACTTCAAGTTAGAGTGCTTACCTGCATGGACCTGTGCGGTTTTGAGTTCACCACCTGCCACTTCTTCCACAGACCCCTGTGTGACCCTTGTTTCCCGAATGAGTCATGGAAGCTTCTTAGGGATTTGATGATTGATTGCCGCTCCTCCTCCTCCCCTGAGATCTTTCTTCCCAAGTGCTAATGAGAGCAGCAGGAAGGAAGAAGAGAAAATCAAGTGTCTGGGAAACTTTCAGATTAGCAGTAAAGATGTAGCTTCTTAGAACGGACGTATTGCCTGAGAAGGCTATTTCTGTAATGCCTAAGAATATTTTTCAAAGTTCACATGAAAAATCCATACTGAAAATTAACATGTATGACACCCACAGTCAGGTTCCCAGGGGCGGCTCCCTGTTGAGTTGGGAATGGAAAGCATGCATGCAGTGCTTGCTGAGTGCAGGTGCTCATGCCTGTAATCCTAACCACTCAGGAGGCTGAGATTGGAGGATTGTGGTTTGAGGCCAGCGTGGGCAGGGAGAGTTCATGAGACTCTTATCTCCAGTGAACCATCTCAAAGTTGAAAGTAGAGGAATAGCTCAAACGGTAGAGCACCAGCTTTGAGCAAGAAAGCTAAGGGATAGTGCTCAGACCTTGAGTTAAGCCCTAGTACCAGCATCATGAATGGAATGCAAAGCGTGCGTTCACAAGAACCAAATGGTAAATTCTAATCTGATTGGGGAATTGCACATGGTTGTGTGTAATCAAAAAAGACAGGGATGTAAGCCTAGCTTCAGGTTTCACAGTACTGTGCCTGTTTTCCTCTTGCATAAAGCAGAGCAATAAAGTGGAGACAATATATCAAATACCCCATGGAGTACCGAGAGCTCGGGACCTGGCCATCAATGTTGAAGTGCATTTTTATAGGGCTCCAGCTCTCAGAAACCTTGAGTATCATGGATGAGGCTGGTGGATGACTACTGAGCAGTGGGAGATGGGAGGCCATGGATTCTACCTCAGGGGTGGTTTGTACTGGCAATGACGCTTATGGTTTGTCTTCCCAGAATGCGAAGAAGAAAATGTACGGCTGCACCGAGGCCTTTCTGGCTGACGCCAAGTGGATTTTACACAACTGCATCATTTATAATGGCGGTGAGTGGCTGAGAGGCTCCACAGGCAGGGAGCGTTCTGGGTGTGCCCTTCCGCCTTGAGCATCAAGCCAGAGCCAGCACCCGGGAATAGCCGCATCATCGGCCTTTGAGCGGAGATCTCCAGGGCCTCTAAGCTGTGTGGTACTGCTGCTCTTACTTTGGTATCGATTGCTTGAATGTGTTCGGAGTTAAGTGCTCTTGTCACTAAGTTTCGTTTCTAGCCCTAAAAACATTGAAGGACAAATGTGTATTGACAGCCCCCAAAGACAGCCTAACTTGGTCAGTTTCTACCTGATCCCTAACAGATAACTGGGTTCTAGAAACCAGCTGTTCTGCCTTCTGTGATCTTGGAATCTCCTATACACTGAGTCACAGACATTATATTCTTTCTTGTCCATTGCTTTGCCACACAAATACTACCAGGATTCAACCAGATGTTGTGTGTGCATTTGTCCATCTGTTCCTTTTTCACTGCTGAGTGGTTTTCCTTTTCATCCATGTCCCACAGTGGATGCGTTCACCTAGTTGATGGTAATGAAGAGTTAAAAACCTTGGGCCCACCCGAATTTCAGAAACCGTCTTGTTTGTGCTGAAACTGCTCAACTATAGATTATTGGAACAAAGCTACTCTAAAGTCAGGCCCCACTTTTTACAATAGCTGACCTTGGGTCCCCACAAACTTCAGGAGCAGTGGCAGGTGTTGAGGTCACTTTGGAGAAAAGCTGGGTGGGGGGGTAGGTGGGAACAGTTGGAGACTCCAGACCCCTGCTTTCCTGGGAATGGTGCTGGCTCACTGCACAGGTTGATGCTCAGCTTCATAAAATGGTTTGCCTAACCTGTCCTTGCGAGTGGCTGTACCGTTTCACAGCTTCCTAACTGGGCGAGGATTCTGGATGTTTCACAGTCTTGCTTACACTTGGGGCTTTCTGTCTTTCTGATTTTGGCCATTTTGGAAGGTGCGGTTTACTAGGTGTAATTTGCCTCTTTTTCCCCCTTCAATTATTTTGATACCGGGTATCTATTTGTGTACCTGTAGTAATTTAATTTTTGCGAGAAGTGAAATTCAACCTTTTGCTCATTTCCAAAAACTGAGTATTTATGCTTTTTTACTGTTCAATTGCAAGAGCTCTTTCTTCTCAGGGTCATTCTCTCTTTCCTGAACTTTGAGAATTAGATAGCAATTTCTGGCCAGCATGGAGGAGAATTTTCATTCAAACCATCCTCCTTGGCCTCTCCTGTCTCTCCCCTCCATCCTCCACCCCCCCCCCTTCACCCCCTACCCCTTCACCCCCAGCCTTCCCTGTCTTCCTTCTGGCTGGCCAGATCTTTCAGTGTCCTTCCACCCTGGTTCTAGTGTTCTCTGCCTGGAAGTTCTGTGCCCCCTTGGCCTGGATGGCTTCTCCTTGTCCTTCAGTCCTTGAGAGCCTTGTCTGCCAGCCCAGGTCTGGCCGGGAGATCTCGTGAGGGACCCTCACCCTGCCTCTGCTCAGGCACTTGTCACTCTCAGTGGGTACTGGGCTCTTCCAAGGGCTGGCATCTGTCTTCCCTGCACAGATGGGCTTAGGAAAGGCTTTGTGAATGGCTGAGAGTCTGCTTTAAGCATACACACTGCGTTAACCCTTCTGAGGCCAGAGGGGAAGAGGGAGCCACTGGACATTGAGAATTTGTGTGGACAAGATAAGTCCACAGAGGTCAAGTCCTGCCATCAGGTGTTTTCTGGGAAGCCACAAATTTTAGGCTGTGTATATGTTGGGGCGGTAGGGGGAGAGGATGAAGAGAGGGAGAGAGAGGGTGGATGGCCTTTCCACTGTCTTTGGAGAGTTGGACTCAGAACCCATGCTCACCTGCATGGCCGCATGTTGTCATGGAGACAGCGCTGCTGATGTTGGCTCAGTCCTCAGTGAGTTCTGCCTTCCTGGTGTCGTCACCAGCACCAGGCAGGAATGGCCGAGCTGCTCTGTGACATCCCTTCCTTCTGGGCTTACAGCCGGGCTGTGTTTCTTTCTGTTAAGGAGATCCTGTAGATTATCATGGCATTTCTCCAGTACAAGTCTGAGCCGGGTGCCGGTGGCTCAAGCCTGTAATCCTAGCTATGCAGGAGGCTGAGATACGAGGATCACAATTCAAAGCCAGTCTGGGCAGGAAAGTCTGTGAGATTCTTATCTTCAATTAAAAAAAAAAAAGCCAGAAGTAGTGTTGTGGCTCAAGTGGTAGAGAGTTCACCTTAGCAAAAGGAGCTCAGGAACAGTGTCCCAGACCCTGAGCTCAAGCCCCAGGACTGGCAAAAAGAAAATCCCTGGTCTGCAGGAGGACCTGTCTGCATCAGAGCTTCATCAGTTTTGATGGGTGAAATCAATCACTTGAACCCATGTGAGAAGCTAGACTAAACTTCTAGATTTTAGCCTTTTAAACTGACTCCTGGGGAAAACAAGTTATAAAGGGCATTAGTGGATGTATAGACCCAAGTTAAGAGTGTCATCTGTCTCTATTAGATTATCCTGTTTTCTTTTTTTTGTTCCGATAAATATTATTAGTTCTGTTTTCTCATTCTCTTAGGAAATCACAAGTTGACGCAAATAGCGAAAGTCGTCATCAAAATCTGTGAGCACGAGGTACGTATGAGGTTCCTGCTGTCCTGGGGCACAGGGAGGGTTGGGCCATCTCCTGATCTGCTGAGGCATAAACAGCGCCCCGTGTGGCAGCAGCGCAGACAGCAGGCTGGGCACCCTATGGTGAAGCCTTTTGTTGGTTGACCAGATAGTGGACATTTCTGCCATTGGCCCTGTGCTTGGTGGCCTGGAGACAGGGGCCCTTGGGTCCCCTTCCAGAGGCAGTTGGGTGGTCATGAGTGGGGAATGGAGAAGTGCTGGCTCAGAAGGGACTGCCACTGTTTCACAGCTTCCTCACAGCTTCACACACAGATCAAGTTGCCTGCAGGCCCACAGCCCTGGGCATGGCTCTTCCTCCAGGAGGCGTCCTGTCTTAAGCAGGGAAAGGACACTCGTATGGGGTTGAATTTTGAGTGTCACTAGTGGAAATGATGCGGGACAGTGGGTTATGCAGTAATGACTCTGTACTCTGGAACTCTGTCCTCAGGGAGGTGGGCATGGGCCAGCTTGGTGGCTGGAAGGAAGTTGCCAAGTGTTAGGTTTCCTTGGTCATGTCTCAGTGTAGCCCTACGGGTATTTGGGGAAGAAATGTTCACTGTTGTGTGGACTGCGAGGTTGTGGGCCTGGTGGCTCAGCTGTCACTTTGGTCTGGAAGGCCATGGTGGCATAGATCAGGTGATACACAGGTTGCCGTGGTGGCTGCTTCTCCACTGTATTCTTGCTGGGTTTCAGTTCATCTTACCCTTCAAAACCAACAAACAAGCCCAGCGTGGTGGTCCACACCTGACATCCCAGCAGGCTGGAGTGTCACAAGTTCTCGGCTAACCTGAGCAACATAGAAAGAACCAGTCTCTTTAAAAATAGAGCAAAAGAAAACCAAATCAAAGCCTGAATGCTTGAAAACATTATCAAACATTTATTCAGGGAAGCCAGATGTGAGGCCTTCCCAGCAATACCATCTAATACCCTTTTGCTTTCCAGATGAATGAAATCGAAGTATGTCCAGAATGTTACCTAGCAGCTTGCCAGAAACGAGACAACTGGTTTTGTGAGCCTTGTGTGAGTGGATTCCCCTTTCCTTGTTTCATTTATAAGCCCTCTGTGCCTTGTGTGGTCCCCAAGACAGCCCTCTCCAGGGCCTGGGAGGTGAGAATGTGGATGAATCCTACAGATGAAGACAGGTGGCTAGGTAGAGTCCTGGCAGGACAGACTTCATGATCTGAAGGTTGTGGTACCCGGGCTGGCTGCAGGTGGGCGTCAGAGTACCCCCTAGGAGAGACACGAGGCTGAAGAACATGACCAGAGCCCCGTGAGTGTCACTTGCCAGTCATGGTGGGACGTGTGTGTGTGTGTGTGTGTGTGTGTGTGTGTGCGCGTGCGCGTGCCTGTGCCTGTGCCTGTGCCTGTGCCTGTGCCTGTGCCTGTGTCTGTCTGTTTCTGTATGTGGGCTTGGAAATGCTTTCCTAGTGGAATGTTTCAGTCACTCCATTGTGGTTCTCAGGGTAGAATGTCCTCATTGGGCATTGATTTCAGGGCTTGTTGTTTTATGGACAGAGGTACACTGTGTGTGTGTGTGTACACGTGCACTCACATGTGTGTGCATGCACACATGTGCATAAGGTGGTGAGGATGCAGGTTTGGAGACAGCAAGACTGGGAGAGTAAGGCGAGAAGCACAACATCCTGTAGGCCTCTCTGCCTTTGGGGGAGAAGCGTCTGAGGAGCTGAGCCCAGGTGGAGGCCCGGAGTGAGCCCACGGAGTTGCGGTTACCCCTTCTATGCTTGTTCCAGTGCATTTGCTCCAAACACTCCAGAGAGTGTTGCATAGAAAGGCACATTCTTGTGCTCATGGTTAACCCTGATAACAGCAGAGCCAGGACTCAACCTGGTTTTGCACTGGCTTGCTCAGCTAGCTTTGCTTCCATGGTGTTCTTCCAGTTGAGCCATGCTTCCAGCCCAGCTTTTTTGCTGGTTATTTTGGAGTTGAAGTCATACCAACTTTACTGCATGGGCTGGTTTTTGAACCTCAGTCCTCAGATCTTGGCCTTCTAAGTAGCTAGGATTACAGGTCTGAGCTACCTTGCTCAATGTAGTTTTGTGAATTTTTCTGTGTATTCTTCTCAATCTTCTCTTTGAAGCCCCTCCCCAGCTGCCACCTCCTAGGAGGTAGCCCTCGGGCTAGCCCTGCTTAGGGACCCATGTCTGGGGTACTAAAGGCTTGTACCACTTCCCACTTGCCTGCAACAACCTCTCATAGCAAACTGCAGTGTGGATCTTGGCACCAAATATATAAAACTCACCATCTTGTTTTTCTTCTTCTAGAGTAATCCACACCCATTGGTGTGGGCAAAGCTGAAGGGGTTTCCATTCTGGCCCGCAAAAGCTCTGCGAGATAAAGATGGACAGGTGGATGCTCGGTTCTTTGGACAGCATGACAGGTGAGCGTTACATCAGGCTTTGAACTTTCTCATACCTTCGGTTGAATCATTGAGTGAGAAGTGTAGCTATTAGACTCATCTTTTTGTGTGTGTGCGCGTCCATGCACCTGCACACTTGATGGTGTTAGGATTTGAACTCAGGGCTTCTTTGCTCATGCCTCTCTAGTCTGGCAATTTGCCAACGAGAGTCTGTTTATTTTATTGATTGATTGATTTTTTTTTGTCGGTTGTGGGGCTAACTCTGGGCCTGGGCACTGTCCCTCAGCTCTTCAGCTCAAGGTGAGCACTCTACCACTTGAGCCACAGCGCCATTTCTGGTTTTCTGAGCGGTTTATTATAGATAAGAGTCTCAGGGACTTCCCTGCCCAGGCTGGCTTTGAACCGTGATCCTCAGATCTCAGCCTCCTGAGTAGCTAGGATTACAGGCGTGAGCCACGGGCACCCAGTAAGAGTCTGTTTAATTGAAAATGGAGGCTGGCTTTGAACTAACATCCTCAGATCTCAGCCTCCTGAGTGGCTAGGATGACAAGCATGAGCCACTGACACCAGGCTTATTGTTACCATTTCCCCCAAGCCAATTCTTATATTGGTAGCTGATGTGATTATTGTTTTGTTTACTGTTGTGATATACCAACCGTGAGTTGTATAGTTGTAAAATATTTTCCTGTGCTGTGTTAAGTCCAATGTGCAGGCTTTAATTTCTTCAGGTATGTTAGAAAATAATCTTTCTGTAATGGCTGTGTTGATGGAAGCCAGCATGGGAATGAGTTCTGTGGCTATTTTAAGTGCTGCTAGGCAAATATACACATACATATACATATATATATATGTATATATATATATATATATATTTTTTTTTTTCTTTTCCTGGAGTAAATTAAACCTGAGCAAATTGCCTTTCAAAATAATGCTTTCAGGGATCGGAAGTATTTTCCCAGCCTGCCAATAAATGAATCTCTTGCCATTATGCAAAACAGTTCCCTCCTGTTCCCTTTTCTCTGTAGCAAAAATGGGAAATTATAAGGAGATCCTGTTTTGACAGGCATAAGCCCCCCCCTCCCGCCTTCTGCCCTCCCCTCTCCTCCAGCTAACAGCAGCGAACAGAGCCCCTGTGTGCCTACAGACTGATGCAGCTCCCCTGCTTCCCTCTAAGCAAGTTCTGTTTAATTAGATGAGGCACGGACTGCCTCTCCCCCCTCCCCTCCAAGCAGTTAGAGTACAAAAGTGCCAAAGGGGACTATTTAAATACATAAGAAAGTAAAATTATATACTCACCCAGAATAAACAGGAAATACGGTTTACATTTTAAAAGTAAAACATCTGAAATAGCACTTGGTTAGATTTTGCTTGAGATTTTCCAGACCAAAGAAGAAAATTCTAAGCCCAGGGCTGGCAGCTCAACGCCTGTGAACTCAGGAGGCTGAGGTTGAGATCTGAGGATTGAGGTTCAAAACCAGACCGAGCAGGAAAGTCCATGAAGACTCTTAGCTCTAAGCAGTTTTTTCTTTTAGAGCAGAAATTGGAGGTATGGTTCAAGTGGCAGAGTGCCAACTTTGAGTGAGAAAGCTAAGGGTCCTGAGTTCAAGCCGTAGTACTAGCACAAATAAACTTCTCACTTGGTTCCTGCTCAGCCTGAGGCCTTACCAGGGCTGTGATTGGTGAGAAGGCTGCACATGGATCTGTCCCCTCAGGATGTGTAGCTGGGCTGGCTGGACACAGAGTGGGTAGAGTGAGGTGAGGCACGCTGGGAGCCCTGCACCTGGGCTCTCCTGCTGTGATGGGAGAAGAGGGGACTAAAGGATGTATAGCTCTTTCTTGTTGTTGTTGTGTGTGTACGTGTACGTGTGTGTATGTGTGGGGGGAGACCTGGTACTAGAGCTTCAACTCCAGTCAGGTCCAAGGCTGTCCCTGAACTTTTTCATTCAATGTTGGTGCTCTACCACTTGAGCCACACCTCCACTTCTGGCTTCTTGGTGGATAATTGGAGATAAGTCTCACAGACTTTCCTGCCCTGGGGCTAGCTTCACACTGCAATCCTCAGATCTAAGCCTCTTAAGTAGCTAAGATTATGGGCATGAGCCACCAGTGCCCAGTGGTGATGATTCAGGTCCTGATCCTGGGGCCTGAACACTCGGCCTGGTTGCTATCCCTGAGCTTCTTTTGCTCAAGGCTAGTGCTCTACCACTTGAGCCACAGCACCACTTCCGGCTTTTTTCTCCCTGTTTGTATGGTACTGAGGAATTGAACCCAGGACTTCATGCATGCTAGGCAAACACAATACCACTAAGCCACATTCCCAGTCCCACAGATTCTTATTCTTTAGGGTAGTACTGTGTGGATTCCTGCCACTAGCTACTAAGGAGCCTGAGATCTGAGGATTGCAGTTCAAACCTAGCCAGGGCAGGAAAGGTCCGGAGACTTTTGTCTCCAATCAACCAGCAGAAAGTTTGGTGGTAGAGCTGTGCTGGAGTACTAGGCTGACCCGTCTCCCTGTGCTGACCACCTGCAGGCTTCTCCTTCTTTCCTGCTCTCAGATGGTACAAAGGCTGGGACACAAGCCATGCTGAAACTGTTTTCAGAGGTCATCCCCAAACACAACTGTAGCTCAGTGTGGAGAGACCTGCCTGTAATCCAAGAAAGGATTAGGAGTGCCAGGCCGTCTGGAGCAAAGGGAGCTTGAGATTCTGTTTCATGATCAAAATGAAGACACCGCAGTAGAGATATAGCTGAAGTGGAATAGAGTTTGCTTAGCTTGAGGAACCCTGACTGAGTTCAACCCCAGCACTAAAAAACACAAATTAGAACCAAGCCAAACACTTGGCAGTTTAGTCCTTGGTTGTGGCCAGGAGCGAGAGGAAGCCAGACTTTTCCTCTTCCTTTGTGAGTTCCTCTTAGGATCTGTAGAGTTGTCTGTTTTCTTAAGTGTGTGCCCTGTTAGGTTCATTCGGGGTGAAGGGTCCATTGCAAAGGCTGGTTAGAGTAGGCCACAGTGATGCAGTATCCGCACCTGCAGGACAGATGTGTCTATGATTGGCGGCTGGGTGAGGAGGCGGAGTCTGTGAGTGAGCCAGTGTGGCTCTGGAGCGGTCTGCTGGTGCGCATGACAAGCTGACCTCGCGTCAGACAGCCTCTCCCCTAAACCCGAGGAGCCAGCGCCTGGGTCACGGCCCTGCCCCTTTCTGAGGGGTGGAGCTTACGTTAGCTGACCAGGTCAAGGCAGAAATCCACAGGCAGTTGTCAGGCCGGTCACCCCTAGAGTGTGCCTGAGCAGGCATGTTCTGAATGGTCTTTTGTTGTCTTTTAAAAGAAATAGCTTGCTTTTTTTTTTTCTTTTCTGTTTTATTTGGACACCTAGCACACAGTTACGTAAAAATACAGTTCCTGTAGAATAGTCATTATATGCTTGGAGAACTTGATGAACAAATCTGACATTGCTTCCAGCGTGCACTGTGTAGAGACTGCCTTTATTTTCCTGGTACAAAAATTTTAATATTCCTATTCATGTAAGCGTGGTATTTTCTTTAGGGTGGGAGACAGATAAATGATGGGAAAAAGAGATTGCTTTGTAAGTTTGGTGCGAGTCCTGAGGCTTCCACTCAAGGCCTGGGTTGTGCAAGACTAGTGCTCTACCACTTGAGACACACTCCCACTCCTGGCCTTGCTGGTGGTTAAGTGCAGATAAGAGTCTCATAGACTTTCCTGCCTGGGCTGGCTTTGAACCATGATTCTGAGATCTCAGCCTTCTGAGTAGCTAGGATGACAGGTGTGAGCCTCCCGCTCCCAGCTAAGGGCTTTTTCTCTTGATATTCAAAGAAAACTGAAGTCTGGAGAGGGTAATGCCTTGCCCAGGGTCACTTATCTGGCCGTGGTGCAGCAATCGGCAGGTTGGAACTGCAGTGGGCTGCTTCTTCTGGGTGTATTATACAGTAAGGCAAATCCGATTTCCCATTAAGTATTTCCTGAGCTTGCTCTTCCTGTCAAGGCTCCACTCAAGATACTTCAGAACCTGGGAGGAAGCAAGTACGCTTTGAAGCCAATAGAGCCTGGGCGAACCTGGGTAACAGGACTGACTGGCCTCTGGCTGGGAAGCTGGTGTCTGGACTGGCCACAGGCCCGTGTCCTTTTGTTTTGTTTTGTTTTCTCCACTCGCTGGAGGCATCACTGCCTGGCACAGCCCCGCGGTCACTGGCTGCCTCTCTGAGTCATTTGACTCTGGCTCAGCCTCCTTTCTCACCTAGAGGAGTAGGGGTGGCTGGATGTCCAGGTCTCCAGGTCTTGGCAGATAGGTGGCTCTGGGGTACATGAGAGATCGCTGATTTTGGGGACTCTTGAGAACGGCTAGATGTTTCTGTGGTGTTCAGGTACAGTTGGCCATTCTCCACGCTGACTTCCGCCCTGGGGTCAGGTCTCATTTCTTATGGAAATCAGGAATTCAGTGGCAGCCATTGAAGAGGGAAGAAGCCTGCTGTCTGTTTCTCTTGAGAATGTGGGCAGCCGGGAGAATGTGGGCAGCCGGGCAGGGTTGGGTCCAGATCCCCACCTGACCACCCTGGATAGCAGCTGACACGCCTCCAGTTCCCTTTGATCTCTACCCTGTGTGTTCCCCCCCCCCCCCCATTTTTCACTCCCCACTGGCTTCCATTGTGCCCCCTCAAACCCAAAGGCCCCTGGGAAAACCACGTTCCCAGCAGATTCTAGCTGCAAACCAGGGTCAGGCTGGTGAACCGGAAGTGTTCGCACCGTTAGGTGTTGATGTCTCCTATTGGCTCTGCCTCTGTGGTCCCCGCCCCTCCCATAGTCACGCTGGCTTCTGATTCTCGAAAAGCAGCTCCTGGCTTTCTGTTCTCTAGTTTGTGCCAAATGCAACGGGAAGAGGGTGCTGACGGGGGAAGAGCGAATTTGGTGGGTCCGATGCTCCCCAAAACTAAAGACTTTTCATGAATGATCCCACATTCAAAGAGCTGGCATTGTGTGGGTTCAAGCAGTAGAGCACCTAGCGCTGAGTTCAAGCCAAAACAAAAGAAACCCTGTTGGGTGTGGTGGTGCATGCCTGTCATCCCAGCACTCTGCTGAGCAGGAGGGTGGAGAGTGAGGTCACAAAACAAATCAGACCAAAGCACAACACAAAACAAACTCTCCTATTAGAAGTAGAGCTGTGCAGTTTCCTTTTGGTCCTGTTTCAGTGAGCAGAGAACTCTGTCAGTGTGTCCTTTCATGAGTTCTGGGGGTAGTTCTGTCCTTGGGGTATAGTGGAGGGTACAGATCAGGAACTCTTATTCTCTTCTGGCTGGCAGTCAAAGGGATTTTTGTGTTCTCCCTGGATTAACATAACCAGGCCTGTGGCGCCTTTCACATCTTCTCGGGGTTCTGACGCTCTTGTTATTTCCTTATGGCAGAACACATTTGTTAAGTGGGTTATATATAATTAATCATCCAAACCAAGGCATTTATTTAAAAAGAATCTGTGTTGAAGAATCTCAGCAGACATGCTAGGCTAATTTGGGTTGCATTAAGGGGGGGTGGGAATGAAGCTGGGCACCAGTGGCTCATACCTGTATTCCCATCTACTCAAGAGACTGAGATCTGAGGATCATGGTTCAAAGCCAGCCTCAGCAGGAAAGTCCATGTAGAAGTCCAGGTAGAAGTGGAACGATTGGTCAACTGGTAGAACACCCGTCTTGAGTGGAAAAGCTAAGGGAGAATGAGAGGTCCTGAGCTCAAGCCCCAGAGTGTACACACACACACACACACACACACACACACACACACACACACACACCCTTAGAAACACACACACACACACACACACACACACACACACACACACACACACCCTTAGAAACAAAACTTGACGTGACTCTTTTGCTCCTCTAGGGCCTGGGTTCCAATAAATAATTGCTACCTCATGTCTAAAGAAATTCCTTTTTCTGTGAAGAAGACTAAAAGTATCTTCAACAGCGCCATGCAGGAGATGGAAGTTTACGTGGACAATATCCGCCGGAAGTTTGGCGTCTTTAATTACTCTCCGTTCAGGACACCCTACACGCCCAACAGCCAGTACCAAATGCTGCTGGACCCCAGCAACCCCAGCGCCGGCACAGCCAAGCTTGACAAGCAGGAGAAGGTCAAGCTCAACTTCGACATGACAGCCTCGCCCAAGATCCTGATGGGCAAGGCCATGCTGAGCGGGGCCCCCGGCCGCCGCATCTCCCTGTCGGACATGCCCAGGTCCCCCATGAGCACCAACTCCTCTGTGCACACGGGCTCCGACGTGGAGCCGGACGCTGAGAAGAAGGCCACGTCCAGCCATTTCAGTGCCAGCGAGGAGTCCATGGACTTCCTAGACAAGAGTACAGGTCAGGCCCAGGCGGGGCGGGGCGGAAGCTATGATAGACCCACCTGGCTGCCCTTGGTGCCACACCTGTGGGGTCTGAGCTGGTGGGTGTTTACAGATGTGCTGAGTTAGAGCTGGAGGTCCCCAGATGTTCATCTCGAGTTCCAGTCTTTCCCACTCACTCTCCATGTGTCTTTGGGCAGGAGCCTGGCATCTTTCTGGAGCGAGGTGATGGTTACAGGCTCTGAAGGTGTTTTTTGTTGTTGTTTGCTTTTGTTTTCATTTGGTTTTGTTTTGAGGCAAGGTCTTCCTAGGTGGCCAATGCTGGCCTTGAACTTGCATGCGGAAGCATTTCATTAATTTTTTTATTAGATTTATTTTCATTTAATTTTGTTCTCATGCCAGAACTGAAGCTTTGAACTCAGGACCTTGAGCTCTCCCTTGGCTTTTTTTTTTTTCCTTTCAAGGTTGCGTTCTACCACTTATGCCACACTTCCCCCTCGTGCTTTTTGCTGGTTCATTGGAGATAAAGCGTCTTCGATTTGTTGGTCCAGGCTGGCTTCAAATCAGGATCCTCAGATCTGAGCCTCTTGAGTAGCTAGGATTATGGATGGGAGGTACACTAGAGACCCAGCTGAGAATTGTTTTATTCTTAACAAATTGCTCTGTTTAAGCACTGTGGGCCTTCCGGGTCTTTCTTACAGTGATCCACAACAGCTGCCTGGGTTCCACTACAGCTTAGCTGGTAGACACTGAAATTTGCAGATTCACGGGTGTTCCACGTTTGGTGACCCATTATTCTTTTGGATTCTCTCCCCCGCCCCCCAACTCCAAGGTGCTGCCCACTTTTGTTAGCTTGTAGGCCTGTGGTGGCCAGCCTCTATTAGAGCCCCGTGTCCGGAGGAGCTGAGTGAATCTCAAGGCCTCTGTGTGAGGGAGGAGCCCAAGCCCAGCCCCATCCTGGATCCTGGCCCTCTTCTTTCCCCTGCATCCTGCTGCCCTCTAGTGGTTGCAGTGGTGCTTAGCACTTAATAGGAGAAACAGGGATGTGCTTAAATCCCACGATCCACCAAGACCCGGGAGTCAAGGAGGTGAGATCATCATGTCTCAGATCAGGAGGACCCCAGATGTATCTTCCCACCATGGAACTTTTAAGGGCAGCAACATGAACTACACACAGAAATCAGTCATTCTTTAAAAGCAGGCTTAGAACTTTTCCTTCAGGTGATCACGCAGCTCAGGCTCACATCTGTCCTCTGAAGAATGGCATTTAGCTTCTGAGAAGTTCCTTGCTCTCAGCATGTGCTCCAGCAGCCCTACCGCAATCTTCCATGGCCAAAGTGGATTATGTTCTGCTTTCCCCTAAGTGGAGCTCCGGGCTGGAATGGATACCTTGCCCACCGGTACTGGTTTTCAAGATACCCAAAGAGTCATTAGAACTTCCCTGGGCCTGGTCTTTGGCCCCCTCTGAGCGAATGGCCCTTTGGCCTCAGAGCTCCACGGTAGAGTATCTGTGAGATAGCGAGGGAAGACTTTCTTCTTCTTCTTCTTCTTCTTCTTCTTCTTCTTCTTCTTCTTCTTCTTCTTCTTCTTCTTCTTCTTCTTCTTCTTCTTCTTCCTCCTCTTCCTCCTCTTCCTCCTCTTCCTCCTCTTCCTCCTCTTCCTCCTCTTCCTCTTCCTCTTCCTCCTCCTCCTCTTCTTCTTCTTCTTCTTCTTCGTTTGGTGTTGGGAAAGCTGCAGGGAGGCACTTGTCACACTGCACGGCTGCTGCCTGAGTTGGGGCGTTCCTTGAGCTTTTCTTGTGGTGAGCTCTTGCTAAGTGGGAAAGTGGGTTCAGTATTGCTAGGTAGTACTGGTTTTTCAAGGAACCCTCAGATACCCCACCTTAGACATAGTGACTCTTGAGAACTATGAATAACAACTCTTTTCTTTCCTTTTCCTTTTTTTTTGTCAGTCATGGGGCTCGAACTCTGGGCCTGGGCACTGTCCCTGAGCTCTTCAGCTCAAGGCTAGTGCTCTACCACTTTGAGCCACAGGGCTATTTCTGGTTTTCTGGTGGTTAAGTGGAGATAAGAGTCTCACAGATTTTCCTGTGAGCTGGCTTTGGACCATGATCCTCAGATCTCAGCCTCCTGAGTAGCTAGGATTACAGGTGTGAGTTACCGGCGCCCGGCCCTTTTCCTTTTCTGTTCCATGCTGGTTGAGGGGCTTGACCTCAGGGCTTGGGTTCTGTCCTGAGCTCTTTCACACAAGGCTAGCACTCAACCGTTTTGAGGCACAGCTCCACTGGCGGCTTTTTTTGAGTAGTTTATGGAGATAAGAGTCTCATGGAGTTTCCCAGCTGCTTTTTTTGTTTTTCAATTTTGAGCTTAAGCTTCTTTCTTTAATTTGAGACTGGGTCTCACTGTGTTGCCCAGGCCTAGCCTTGAACCACTTGAGTTCAAGGGATCCACCTGCCTCAGCCTCTCGAAGGGCTGGGATTGTGTCTGGCGGCGCATGCCTGTTTTCTGAGTAGGTTTCCATGTTAAAACCCTGCAAGTCAGCATTTCTAGCAGTGTCTTTAGTCTATCCTCAGCTATCTGCAACGTGGTAGTGTGCAACATGGTCCAGCTACACCTCACACAATCTGCCAGCCCTTCAAATGCAGGGTTAGCATTGTTTTGTTTTGGTGTTAGTATTGGGGCTCGAACTCAGGGCTAGCTGTTTTGCTCAAGGCTAGTACTCTACCACTTGAGCCACAGCACCATTTCTGAATTTTTAGTGGTTCATTGGAGATGAGTCTCACAGGCCTTCCTGCCCAGGCTAGCTCTGAACTGTGGTCCTCAGATCTCAACTTCCTGAGTAGCTGGGATTACAGGTGTGCATACCAGTTCCTGGTTCCATGCAGGCTGTGTGTGAGGTTATTGTGAATCGTTCCCCCTGTCCGGCCTGCAGAGGCTGTGGGCAGGAGGATTCTGTTCTCCCACGGAACCCGATCTTGCGTGTCTGGTGTTCAGCCCTGCAGTGAGCGCAGGCTGAGATTTTTGTAACTGCAGAAAATAAATGGTGCGATTTAGCTCACACTTCGAATCGTACATCAGAGTGTAAAATCTTGATTAAATTATTTGACTTCAAAGGCAATTAGAGCTTCCTCTGGGTGAGATTTATGGCTTTTTGAAAGGATTGGCATGTGTTTCAAAGTTTAATTGAAACAAGCATTTCCAGTGTTGCTTTTGCAGATGCCTAAAATGGTCTACAGAAGTCACTGTCAAGCTTAGCCCCCAACATGCAGGCTGGGTAGCTCCGCCTTGGGGTCCCCCTGGGCAAGGTGGGATGTAGAACAGCTTCTCTGGCCTTTACCCACTCCACACCAACAGCAGCCCAACATACACACAGCTGTGTCCGGGGACAACATCCCCCTACCTTGCCTGCTTTCCCTGCGGGATCCTGCCGAGAACCACAGTTCATAGCCCACGCTTTTTTTTTTTAATATGGTAATTTTCCTTAAGTAGTTGTCCACAGGAGTTGCCATCAACAGAGCAGTTCATGCATACAGTGCCTCTCGATCACTGTGACCCCTTTGAACCATCTCACCCCTCCCTCCCACTTGAATGTTAGCACTGATGATATAATTCTAATTACTCAGCTCTCATCCTTTAAGATTCTTCAGTCTTCACATCTCATTTTGCATCATTGTTTTCTCCCTTAAAATACGGAATATTCACTGGGTGCCAATGTTCACGCTGGACTCAGGAGGCTGAGATCTGAGGCTCACAGTTCAAAGCCAGCCCAGGCAGGAAAATCTGTGAGACTCTTATCTCCATTTAGCCACAGAAAACTGGAAATAGCCCTGTGGTAGAGCACTAGCCTTGAGCTGAAGAGCTGAGGGACAGTGCCCAGGCCCAGAGTTCAAGCCCCGACTCACACACACACACACACACACACACACACACACACACACACACACACACACAGCATATTCAAGAAGAAATGTTCTAGAAGAAACAATACTTTTTATAGGTTGGGTGTGGCTTCGGATCTTTCAGTAGATGCCCAGTGGGATTCTGGGTGCCCTGGCTGTCCCAAGAGGCTTTGTCTCGCTACATTTCCTGCAGCTGTGCAGAGCCCTCCCTCCCTGCTGGCTTTGCTAGTTTGTTTCAGAGCTTACAAGGAGAAAGGCTCCAGTCTTCTGTCCGCCCACCGAGTTCATCCTGTGGGTATTTTTAGCTCCTGAGACTTGGGAATTATTTAAGACACCCTCGCGGGAGAGGGTTGCTTGGCAGTATGTCTTGCATGATGTCCTGTGTGGGCCTGTTTCATGTGTCACGAGTATTGTGGGTTGTGTGTGTTCAGGGACAGTGGTTGGAATGGTGGTAGGACCGCCCCGGCCCTACAAAAGGACCCACACAGGGCAGGTTCTGTGCCAGGCTCATTTAGGAGTTTTTAAAGTTGTTAGTGATTCTCTCTCTCTGACTCTGTGTCACTCAATGTCTTTGTCTCTGCTCCTTCTGTCTGTTTATCATACTCTGTCTCTCTCATCCTGGGATTTGAACTCAGGACTCGGGCACTGCCCATGAGCCTCTCTGTGCTCAAGGCTAGCATTCTACCACTTTGAGCCACAGCGCCACTCTAGCCTTTTCTGGGTATGTGGTATGAGGAATGGAACCCAGGGCTTCAAGCATGCTAGGAAAGCACTCTACCACTAAGCCACATTCCCAGCTCCATCTCTTTGAGCATTTGGCTTGTTTATTGAAGATCCGAGTCTCACAGACTTTCCTGCCCAGGGTAGCTTCAAACTGTGATCCTCCGGTCTCAGCTTCCTGAGTAGCTAGAATTCTAGGTGTGAGCCCAGCACCTGGCTCGAGTCTTCCTGATGTTAGTTGAGCATGTGCTTGGTACCAGTAGACATGTGCTGACCTGTCCCCCACTCGCTCCGTACCCTCTGGCCTCGGGCGTTCGGGGCCCCAGGACTCTGCATTCCTATGGAATCTTCTCAATGGAGCAGCAGTGGTGGCCCCTGGCTACAGATGACTTTGTCCTGGGGCTTTCCTGAGAACTGAGGGGTATTTACCAGTGTCAACAGTCCCTTTGCAGTGGCAGTCCCTCTCCCCTAGTTGTGGCAACCAAAGTCACCTGTGCGCCTTGCCCATCGGGGCCTGGCAGGGATGGTGCGGGGTAGGGATGGCCTGGCATGTGGGGCAGGGTGGTGCCAGGCTGATGGCCCCTTGCTCCGATGGTGAAACCCATGCTTCCAAGTTAGTGGGGGAGGTAGCCGATCACCTCAGAATCCCTGCGTCCATCCAGCTCAGGCGACCTGGCAGTTCTGTTTTGAGTTAGGCCTTCAGCCCAAGCTAGCTTTATTTAAAAGGGCCCAGCTCCACATCCTTTTCCATGGAAAAGAAAGCTAAGTTTAAGCCCCTGGCATAGGGGACCATTCTGGATGAATGATCAGTGTCTCTCTCTCGCCATCTGCTGGTGAGTCTGGCTTCCTGCAGCCCGTGAGCCTTTGAATTGGAGGCTGGTGGCCAGGGTTCAGGCTGGGCCCTAGCAGATGCCGGCTGTGTGGGAGCAGCCCGTTCTCTTCCCCCACGCAGATGACAGGCCTTTTATGAGCCTGGCTGCTGATCGCCACATCTGGAGTGCGATGTTCCGGTTCAATCACTGTTTATTTTGAGATTTACACCCGAGAATGGGCCAAACCAGCTTCAGGGGCAGCTTAGCTGATTTGTCTTAGAGCTTTGGGTTGAATAGAATAACCAGGGGGCCGACTGCTTGGGGCTTGAGCAGTTTGACGTTGGGAAAGAAACGTTGTTCTGGAATGAAATGGTCAGCCCTTCCTGTCCCACCCGTCCATGAGGCCGTGATGGGCTTGCCTCGTGTACACTTCACATCTGCCCTCCCCTCGGTGCTCGGGGCCACACCTGGCTGGTTTTTTATTGCTTTGTAAAGTTGACTTCTAACAGTCACGCACTTTGTTTTCAGCTTCTCCAACCTCCACGAAGGCCGGCCAAGCGGGGAGCCTGTCTGGGAGCCCGAAACCTTTCTCTCCCCAAGTAGCAGCGTCCATCACGACAAAGGTGGAGAGGCCGTGCACCACGGGGAGCATCCTGAACCTCAACCTGGGTCAGTGTTTCTGTGGTGCCTGGGGCTGTGTCTGCAGGCTGTGACGTCCACACTTTTTTTGTGGTTCTTGAACCTTGAACTCGTTAATCTGCACAGATATCAAACGTGTGTGTGTAAGTGATGGTTCCCGGAGAAGGAGCAGGGCATAGGGATTTCCTGCAGCTCCTTGGCACAAAGTCATTTCACTTGGAATTAGCTTAGGGCAAGGTTGGCAAGAGGGCTGCCCTTGATCCCTGGAACCCTGCTTTCCAATGCATCGCAGATGAGTTTCATAAACTCCTCTCTCTCTCTCTCTCTCTCTGTTGGTCATGGGGCTTGCAGGGCCTGGGCATAGTCCCTGAGCTCTTTTACTCACTACCACTCTACCACTTTGAGCCACAGTACCACTTCAGTTTTCTGATGATTAACTTGATTAACTGGAGATCAGTTTCATGGACTTTCTTGCCTGGGCTGTCTTTGAACCTCGATCCACAGATCTCAGCCTCTTAAGTAGTTAGGATTACAGGCATGAGCCACCGGTACCCCGCCAACTCATATCTTTTTTATGCTCAGTTTACTGGGGTATATGGTTTCACTAATTCACTTCTGGTGTGTGTGTGTGTGTGTGTGTGTGTGTGTGTGTGTGTGTGTGTGTGTGTGTGTGTGTGTGTCTGTCTGTCTGTCTGTCTGTCTGTCTGTCTGTCTGTCTGTCTGTCTCCTGGGGCTTGAACTCAGGGACTAGGCACTGTCCCTTAGCTCTTTCACTTAAGGCTGGTGTTCTACCAGTTGAGCCACAGCTCCACTGGGTAGAGGAGAGGTGGAGGAAGATGGAGGTAGGAGGAGGGAAGGATGGGTGGAAGGGGAAGAGGGATGGGTAGAGCACAGAGGAGGGAGGGGTGGAGTCCAGCTCACAGTGGTTGGCTGGGTCCTGTCCTCCCCCTCCTCCCCCTCCCCAGGCACCCCATGTACTCACGCTTCTGCATGATGCGCTGAGCTCTTGAGCCCTTACGTTGGTGTATGCGTTTGGCAGTGGAGGCTTGGGGAAGCTGAGGGTCCCTGTCCTGGCCCCCACAAAGGTTCTTGGAGTTCCAGGTCTCCTGCATCATGGGCAGTCTGACCAAAGCTTTGGTCAGAGGATCTCTAGGCACTCCTGGAGACTGAGCAGATGCTGTACTGTGCCCCTCCTACGTCCTGGGTTCTTGGCGGCCAGCTGCCTTGTCTCCTCTGCTCTAGTGGTGTGGGGCAGTAGATGAGACAGCAGAAGGGGTGAGAATGAATTCAGGAAATGGAAGCTCAGTGACCCTTGGAAATCTGCCTCTGCTGCTCAACACTTTTGGTGCAAGCTAGAGGGGGAGGGACTCTGGGATGTGCTTCTCACCTGGGAACACATGTCAGCCCCCGGGTTGTATGTGGGACAAATCCTCTGTATAACGCCATCCTCCAGGTGGAATGCCTGTGCATCCCCACACGCACGCGTGTGCACATACACACACAGGCTGGAGGTCCCCCTCACGGCTTCCTTCCTTTTCTCAGTGGAACCTTGGGCTGGGTCAGCTGAGAACAGAATCCAGGCTCTGTGGATGACAGACAGCCTGTCCTTGTTGTAGATTCTGTGCTTCTGAGGGTTTGGGGGAGCTGTCCCCCCACCTCTGGCTGGCAGGTGTCGCTGTGTCTGCTGGTTTGGAGAGTGATCCCCGTGCCATAGCCTTTGGCCGTGGGGAGCCCCTGGTGACGTTGGACCCCGAGGCTGGCATGTTCAGTCAGTCCTCCATCCTCCAGGGCGGGTGATGGATGGGGTGAAACCACCAAACACATTTGCCGTCATCTCCCGTCCCGGCTCTGCCCGGCGGGAAGCTGGGTGCTGTGTGTGGGCCGCGCCCGGCTCCGGCCCTGACTGTGCCCGGTGTCCTTGCAGACCGCAGCAAAGCCGAGATGGACCTGAAGGAGCTGAGCGAGGCGGTGCAGCAGGCGGCCCCCGTGCCCCTCATCTCGCCTAAGCGGCAGATCCGAAGCCGCTTCCAGCTGAACCTGGACAAGACCATCGAGAGCTGCAAGGCGCAGCTGGGTACGTGTGCGGCCCACGGGCTGCAGCCACCACCCCGGGAGGACGCCCTGCTCTGCCCTCGGCCCTTTCGCACTGGGTCGGACCCCTGGTGATGGGTTTTCTGGTTCACGGTTCAGCAGAGCTCTGGGACTACATCCAAGCTTATTCTTTGGTGAGGCCGCTCCCAAACTCTGCATGCAGGAGGGGGCGTGTGGAGCCCCCTCTGTCCCCCTCTTAGGACGCAGTGGCATCTTGGCACTCATTGGCAGGGTCTGGCCCTTCCCTGCCAGCCGGCCCTCCCCACAAGGCACACACTTCTGCCCCGTGGCTCTGCCTCTTCCTCCCAGGCTGGCTGCGCACACATGGCCACTCAGCCCTCACCCCCTCCTAGAAGCCTTCCCAGAATGCCCTTTTAGTGTCCCATCACCTTCGGTGGCTAATTGCCCTGGGCCACTTGTGCTGGGGAGACAGAAGGGAAAGGGAATTGAAACACTCTCCTTCAGGTGTCTTCTATTATCCGTGTTGGAGGCTTAGCTCTGTGTGAATTACACACAGATAGGTGGGTAGGTGGGTTCTATGTACTTGGAGGTGAATAGCCAAGGCCCTTTGCAGGCACAGGCTCCATCTGTCCCTGGGGTCTGGTGACCTGGCCAGGCCAGGGTGATACAATTCAAAACATGTCTTCTGTTTGTTTTTTGGTCTGAGACTAGGACTCGAACTCCATACCTGTCATGTTCACTCATTGGCTAGTGCTCTGCCCATTAAGCCACGCCTACAGTCCCCAAACCGTGTGTCTCACCGGTAGCATTTGTCACAGAATATGTTAGCATTTGCTTGGTCCGGCTCTCTCTGTCTCGAGATGGCACCCAGCAGGCCGGCTTTTCCTTGGTCGCAGGCATCAACGAGATCTCGGAGGACGTGTACACGGCCGTGGAGCCCAGCGACTCGGAGGACTCGGAGAAGTCGGACAGCAGCGACAGCGAGTACCTCAGCGATGAGGACCAGAAGTCCAAGCCGGAGCCCGAGGAGCCGGCCGAGAAGCCGGGGAGCCAGCCGGACAAAGAGCCGGCCTCTGCCAAGAAGAAGCCCAAAGCCACCAACCCGGTGGAGGTCAAGGAGGAGGTGAAAAGCACCTCACCACCGGGCGAGAAGGCAGAGGCGCCGAAGGACAAGGCCAGCCCCGAGTCCCCGAAGGACCTGGCAGACAAAGCCAAACCGTCCCCTGCGCCCGCCAAGGAGAAGCTGAAGGGCAAAGAAGAGACGGACTCCCCCACGCTGCACCTGGGCTTGGACTCCGACTCCGAGAGCGAGCTGGTCATAGACCTAGGGGACGAGCATTCTGGGCGGGAGGGGCGGAAAAACAAGAAGGAGCCCAAGGAGCCCTCCCCCAAGCAGGACGGTGAGTGGGCGCGGGTCTGTGTTGGGCCTAGAATTACACCGTGTTGCGGGATCAGGGCGCTGGCGCTGGGCTAGCATCACTGTACGATTCCATGATGGTGACAAAACAGGCCCCCGCCCAGACCCAGGACCTACACGGGAGCCTGCAGGGTTTCTCCCCGCTCAGTCCTCATCCCCAAGGTCTGTGTGCGCGAGCCAGGTGCTCCTAGTCAGTTGCTTTGCATCTGAGCAGTCGCTCTTCCGGTGTGTTAGCTCCTTTCTTTCCTTAAAGTGTTGGGATGACGATCAGGTGTGCACAGAGCAAAGGTCTGCACGTCTACCACATTCTCCTCTCCTGAGGCTGCCTTGCCTTCTTGGCTACCTGGTGGGTGGTGATGCTCCAGGTCTTTAGGGGAGCCGGGGCGGGGGGGGGGGGGGGGGGGGTCAGTGGAAGGGATCCAGCCCTTTGCCCTGCAGGATTGTGACTTGGGCATGTTGTGGTCCTCTGGCCACTAGGGGGCGGCAGCACCTGCCTGACATGGCTGTGCCTGAAGATAAGGGGTGGGTAGAGGGTGAGCAGGCCCTGCCCCTTTTCGTTGTATTCAGAGCCAGCAGCTGGAGGAGGCCCAGAGTGCTGTGAGTGCTGATCCAAGTACTTCCTTCACGTCCTTCCTTCCCACAAGGTTATTACCTGGTGGCTGGGGGAGGCCAGGGGAAAGAAAATGCTGTTGAAGGCCACAGTGGAGGTGGAAGAAGCGGAGAAACCCAGGGTCCTGTGTGAGGAGGGAGGGGCAAGTAGCAGGCTTTGGTGTTAACTGAGCCTGACTCCTGACAGAACGTGACTTCTCATCCATACCCTGGAGCACGACAAGTTTGTGTGTCCGGATGTCCCACAGCTCAGCGGCTCAGAGCAAGGCCCAAAGTACCTCCGTGCTAGGGCCGAGAACAGACTTCTTGTGGCTGACAGGACGGGGGAGGGTCGATGGTAGACCGGCCCTGAGTTACCTCCTAGAGTCACAGATGGCTTGGAGACATTGAGTATGGTTTGGTGTTGTTGAGGGGCATTTATTCCCAAAGCGTCATGGAAATACCTGGGTGTGGGTGGCCTTGCTCGTTCGGCATAGTTTTATGGAATGGTGAGGGCTAGGACAAGGTTTTAGACGAAAATATCTGCTGTTCTCGGGCTGGGAAGGTGGCTCAGTGGCAGAGCGCTTGCCTTGCATGCCTGAGGCCCTGAGTTCGATTCCTCAGCACCACATAAGAAAAAAGCCGGAAGTGGCGCTGTGGCTCAAGTGGTAGAATGCTAGCCTTGAGCTGAAGAGCTGAGGGACAGCGCCCAGGCTCAGAGTTCAGCCCCCATGACCGGACCCAAAAAAAATGGAAGAAGAAAAGAAAATATCTGCCATTCTCATGTTCAGTTAGTTAACAAAGCTGAGTTTCCGTTTGGGCTCTGAGCTTCCTAGGCCAAAAACTGAAACTCATGTTCAGTTAGTTAACAAAGCTGAGTTTCCGTTTGGGCTCTGAGCTTCCTAGGCCAAAAACTGAAACTTCTTGACTTACTTTAAAAGTCAAAGCTTTTATTTATTTTTTGGGGTGGGGTACTGGTCCTGGGGTGAGATCTCAGGGCCTCCCTCTCTTTGCTCAAGGCTAGCACTCTACCACTTGAGCCACAGCTCCACTCCTAGCTTTTTGGTGGTTAATTGGAGATAAGTCTCTCCTGGACTTTCCTGCCTGGGTTGGCTTTGAACTGCGATCCTCAGATCTGCAGCCTCCTGAGTAGCATGAGCCACCAGCACCTAGGTTCCTTAAGCTTCGCGCCCCCCCCCCCCGCCACACACACACACACACACACACACACACACACACACACACACACACACACACACACACACACACACACACACACACACACACACACACACTTCAAGGCTGGTGCTTTGCCATTTGCTCCACTTCTGACTTTGTGGTAGTTCATTGGAGATAAGAATCTCACAGGCTTTCCTACTCAGGCTGGCTGCTAACTGTGATCTTCAGATCTCAGTCTCCTCTGTAGCTAAGATGACAGGTGTGAGCCACTGGGCGCCCAGCAAGAGCAAAGTAGTGAAATGTTGAGAATGTGGAAGCTTCGTGGAAGAATGTTTACCACTGTGCCCCCAGATATTTGACAAGCTGAAGATGAGTCTGGAGCCATAGAGCACCTGCCTGGCAAGCATAAGGCCCTGAGGACCCCCAAGGAAACCCAGCATGCCCCTTCCCCTGGCCAAAAAAAGACACGGGCAGGAACTGTGCAACAGAAACTTGAAGCCCGGCTCTGTCCTTGGCAGTGACTTTTGTTGGGAAGGGGGCAAAGTTGGGCCCTGGCGCTGATTTTGGAGTTGGTGTCTAGCTCCCAGGAGCCTCCTCAGGTTCCTTGGGCCTTTGGTAAACCCCCATTCCTGGGCTCTGTCTTTGCCTTTGTCTTCTGGCTGGCTCTGATTGGTCTTGATTGCTCTGGGCTCCTCCTCTGGTTGGTGGCCCATGAGGGTGGGGGCTGGATCTATTTTAGCCCCCACCCCACACTCTCACCTTGCTTGTGTCCTGGGAGTTGCCTGAGTGTAGACATGAAATGTAGGGAGATCTCACTTCCTTGCAAGGTGGGCTGTGTGTGGACCTCCTGAGTCCCTGCCTTGGCTGGTTTTTTGGTTTTAAACATTAAAAGTTATAACTTCTGCTTATTTTTTATTTTTTATTTGCCAGTCCTGGGATTTGAACCCAAGGCCTGGGTGCTGTCCCTGAGCTCTTTAGCTCAAGGCTCGCTCTCTGCCACTTGAGCCACAGCGCCACTTGTGGTTTTTGAGTGGTTTATTGGAGATAAGAGTCTCAAGGGGACCTTTCTGCACAGGCTGGCTCTGAACCTCAGTGCTCAGATCTCAGCCTCCTTGAGTCACTAGGATTACAAGCGGGTGCCACCTGGCCCGGCTTTACATTTTTTTGTATTGTTGTGATAAAGATGATGTACAGAGGTTAGGTGGTTTTTAACCCCAGACTTGCCTGCCTGGCCTTGTCACAGGCGAACCGAGTCCTATGACTTTGTGTTTGTTTTCCCCGGGCTGCAGCTGTGGGGAAAGCACCCCCATCCACGGCGGCAGGCAGCCAGTCTCCCCCCGACACGCCAGTGCTCACCCGCTCTGCCACCCAGGCCCCCGCGGCTGGGGTCCCTGCCAGCACCACCACCAGCAGCAGCAGCAGCAGCAGCAGCAGCACCAGCAATAGCAGCAGCAGCAGCAGCAGCAGCAGCAACAGCAACAGCACGTCCACTGTCACAGTCCCAGCGCCTGCCACCACGGCCATCACAGGAAGCCCGGTGAAAAAGCAGAGGCCCCTGTTGCCGAAGGAGACTGCCCCGGCCGTGCAGCGGGTCGTGTGGAACGCCTCAAGTAAGTTTCAAACGTCCTCCCCAAAGTGGCACATTCAGAAGATGCAGCGTCAGCCGCCGCCGCCGCCACCGCCGCCGCAGCCCGCGCAAGGGACCCGATATCAGACCAGACAGGCCGTGAAAGGTACGGCCGCCGCCCGTCGCGCAGGACCTCGGCCGGCCCCACCCCGTGTCCTGCACGCCTGCAGATCGCCGCCCCCCCGGCCTGTATTGTTAAACATCCATGTGCCATCTGCCCCTTTTCATGTCGTGAATGGGGGCATGCCATCTCTAAGACACACCACGTCTACTCATCCGCCTTCCATCCCATCCCCTCTCCACCCGCTGCCGGGAACTGCTTCTCCATGCATGTGTGCATATATATATATTTACACATATATATGTGACTTCATCAGACAGCCCATCCCTCCCTTCTCTTTATTTCTTCCTCGTTCTAAAGCATAGAAATGGTGCCATTCTTGCTTCCCCATCTCATCCCCTCACCCACCCCTCAAGCATGTGTTGGAGATGTGTGTGTCGGTGCACCCGGCCTGGCCTTCTTTCGGACGGCTGTGTAGTATTCTGTAGTTGATGAAAGTATTCTCTCACTGATGGGTGGGCATTTAGCTGCTTCTGTGTTTTTTTTTTTTTTTAATTTAACTTATTTTTTTGCTGCCATAAGTGTAAATTTCCTTGTGCACGTGAGTGGGCCTCTTGCTGTGGCTTGGGGGAAGTGAGCAGGGGACAGGAAAGTTGCCTTCCAGAGCCAGATGCTGGTGGCTCATGCCTGGAATCCTAGCTTCTCAGGAGGCTGAGATCTGAGGATGGTGGTTTGAACCCAGCCTGGACAGGAAAGTCTATGAGACTCTTCTCTCCAATTAACCACTGAAAAGCGTGAAGTAGAGGCTGTGGCTCAAGTGGGGACAGGGTTCACCTTGAGGGAAGAAGCTTAGGGACTGCACCAGACCCTGAGTGTGAGCCTTGATTGGTGCAGACCCGGCAGGTAGCCTGGGGGAGTGGAGAGGGCGGAGGGGCTCAATAGAGAGAGAAAACAAACAGCTCAGAAAGCAGAGGAGCGGAGATCTGTCCGTGTGTGGCCCGTGCGCGGGCTCACTAATGTGTTTGGTTTAAGGTAAGACGCCTGTCTTCCTGAGAAACCAAAAGTTGGAGTTGGGTCCATCTTCCTCATGGGCTGGAGGCAGTTTTTTCTCAGGCGTGTTTTTCAGGGAGTGGGGAGGGGCTTGGGGTCCCCCTGCCACGTGGCCATTAGCTCATAGTGATGGTTGTGTCCTTTCGAGTGTTCGTAGCGTTAAGGTTGAGGCCTGGCTGAGAAGGGAGCGCAGAGCACCTGGCTGTGGGTCCAGGTCCCAGGTGGGATCCTGACTCGTGGGTAACAGCCGAGGGGTTCACATCCTCACCCCGGCTTCGTGCGGGGGGACAGTCCCTTCCCACACGGCCGGGGTAACCAGGACCCTTTGCCTTCCTAGCTGTGCAGCAGAAGGAAGTCACCCAGAGCCCGTCCACGTCCACCATCACCCTGGTGACCAGTACACAACCCTCGTCCCTGGTCAGTGGCTCGGGTTCCTCCAGCACCCTGGCGTCTGCCATCAGCGCCGACCTCCCCATCGCCACCGCCTCAGCCGACGTGGCCGCCGACATCGCCAAGTACACGAGCAAGGCGAGTGGAAGGGTGCCGGGCCTGCACCTGGGAAGCCGGGCCGGGCCGGGCCGGGCCGGCTCAGGCCGGAGCCAGTTGATGTTCTTCCTTTCTCCTTCTTTATTCTTTTCTGTCAATCATGGGGCTTGAACTCAGGGCCCTTAGCTCTTCAGCTCAAGGCCAGTCAGTGCTCTACCACTTGAGCCTTAGCGCCACTTCCACTTTTCTGGTGGTTTATTGGAGAAAGACTCATGGACTTTCTTGCCAGGGCTGGCTTTGAACTGTGATCCTCAGATCTCACCCTCCTTAGTAGCTAGGATGACAGGCGTGAGCCACGGTGCCCTGCGAGTCTGGCATTTTGATGTTTATTATGGAAATAGAGTTTCACAAACTTGTTCTCCTTGAACTGGCTTTGATCTGCAATCCTTTGGATCACAGCTTCCTGAGTAGCTAAAATTATGGGTGTGAGCCACCCACACCTGACTTCAAGTTGGTTCCTAACACAACTGTAGAACATTGTAAAACTCCTCCATAAAGCACAAGTGTAAACAGTGGAGTTATCATTACTCTTCAGGATTTAAGTTGTTGGTCACCTATAATCCTAGCTACTCAGGAGGCTGAGATCTGAGGATCGTAGTTCAAAGTCAGCCTGGGCAGGAAAGTCCGTGAATCTCTCATCCAGTTAACCATCAGAAAACCAGAAGTGGTGCTGTGGCTTAAGTGGTAGGGTGCTAGTCTTGAGCTGAAGAGCTGAGGGATAGCGTCCAGGCCCCACAACCAACCAAAACAATAAGAAGTCATGTGGGCAAAGGTGGTAATGACTCACTATGAGCGAGGCCTGGCCTGCTGCCCATGCCTCAGTCATTCCAGGAATGGAGAGGGGTTCATGGACCCCCTTTTGCTCGGCTCAGTTCAGTTCCTGGAATAAAAATGAACACGTGGTATTGCCTGTAATCTTAGCAGCTCAAGAGCCTCAGATCTAAGCATCCCAGTTTGAAGCCAGCCCAGGCAGGAAAATCTGTGAGATTGTTATCTCCAGTTAACCAGAAAAGGCTGGAAGTGGAGATTTAGCTCCAAAAGTAGTACATCAGCCTTGAGCTAAAGCTAAGGGAATGGCACCCAGGCCCTGAGCTCAAGCCCGAGTGCTGGCACACACACACACAAAAGACTTGTAAGAAAATGGGTGGTTAATTTTGTTTTTTAATTACTGATTTAAAGAGGTACAATTGCTCAGGTAACTCGGCTTCCAGTTACTCCCCTTTCTCCCTGTCATTGATGTGGTCCAAGCTGTTTGTTTACAAATCAGTAAGCTGAGGCCTACCTGGTAAATGCAGAAGGCCCGGTTTGGATGGATGCTTTCTTTGCACTTAGATAAACGAACCTGCTAACATGTTGGGGAGCCCTTTTGGGGGTGCAGCCTGCCTGCGCCTGTGTGTTTTGGCAGTGGAGCTACCTTCATTAGTGTGGAACTCGAGTCTGTATTGGGAAGGAAAAGTTGGTGCGGCTTCATGAGGGTTTAACAGGGCTGCAGGCGCTGCCCTGGTCGGATTGCCCTGGCCATCTCAGATTTTCTTGTAAACCTCTGTGCCGGGGTTTTTATGGTGACCCGGAGGGTCTGCAGAGATGGACGAGGGCTATGTGTGACACACATGTTTGTGCTGGCAGTGGTTGTCAGGCCCCGCGGCCAGCGGGGACCGGTGTGGTTCACTGGTTTGGGGTGAATTCAGGGTTAGTCTCTGGGGCCTTGGCAGTGTACTGACTGCCTGTGTGGGTTCAGGTGAGTCTGTCAGAATCCACACACACAGACCTTTCTTCTGGAATTCCTCCTCCATCCCTGAGCTCACCCAGCAGGGCGCTGTTATGCTTCTTTCCCTGGGGAAACTAAGGCATACAGCGAGCACCTGGTAAGAAGGAATGGGACGTTCAGATGTGTTGATCAGATGTGCTCTGTCTTCCTATGGACATGGGGAGTTCTGGAAGACTGGGGAGACCCGGGGCTGTTCCAGCAGACTGAGATGGAGCCAGGAGAGTAGTGGATGGTCACCCACCAAGCTCACAGCTGCTGCTTGGCTGTGGTGGCTGCTCCCATTGACTTGCTGCTGACTCAGGGCTCAAAGCTGGTTAGACAAGATGGAAGTTTGGCACCAGGGCCCTGGCTACTTGGGAGGCTGAGATCTGAGGACTCGGAGCTGTGCTTCAAGAGGCAGAGGAGCTTGCCTTAGGTGACAGAAGCTTAATGGACGGTGTTGAAGCCCCAAGTTCAAGCCCCAGTGTCAGTGGCACACACACATGCACACGCATGCACGCACACACAACGGGAAATGAGCTGGAGAGCAGAGCCCAATGTCAAGACATCACAGTAGCCACCAGCTCTGTCCTCAGGAAGGACATCACAGGCTGTGATTGAGATCAGATTAAACGTGGGCATCCAAATGCACAGAACATGCACCCACAGAGACCCAGCAAACTGCTGTTGTCGGGGGCTGAGGAACTGGGCAGGAAATGAGTTCGGGGGGGGGGGGGGGACTGAAGAGGGAGATGGGCCTCCTGGTGCGGTGTTGGCAGTGTTCTGGAGTTGTCATGGTGTTGGAGGCATGCCTGAGAGACATTGAATGTTTCTCTGTGTTGCTGGGCACTGTGCGTGCTGAGTGATCACACCGCGTAGGCGCACCGCCGGCCCGGAAAGCCATTCCGTTGTGCCCTGGCAGTGGTGAACCTTGTGTCTCATTCAAAAGTATATGGTTGTTCTTTGTTGTGGTTTGCTTTTGTGAGTGCTGGATCTTGAACTCTTACTTGGTTTTCTTTGTTCAAGGCTGGTGCTCTGCCACTTGAGCCACACCTCCACTTCCAGCTTTTTGCTGGAGCCACACCTCCACTTCCAGCTTTTTGCTGGTTCGTTGGAGATAAGAGTCTCACAGGTTTGTCTGCCTGGGCTGGCTTTGATCCCTGATGCTCAGATTTCAGCCTCTTGAGTCGCTGGGATTACAGGTGTGAGCTACCCGCACCTGGCCCTGACTTGCTTTATGCCCGCGCTTCACTGTTGCAGTAGCTCCATCCAGGCTGGCATCAGCTTGTAGCAGGGCCACTCTCCACACTGGGCCCTGGGCCTCTCCCCTGAGACACCAGCGTTGTCCCCCTGTCCACCCCCCACGATCACTCAGAGCCCCAGAGAAACCTGGGAATGGGTGTTTGATACATGCCAGTTGGTAGATTTCTGTCATCTAGGAAAGAGTCAGGGTAGTCACTGCATTATTTCTGGTTTTATCTTTCAGATGATGGATGCGATTAAAGGGACAATGACAGAGATTTACAACGATCTTTCCAAAAACACTACGGGCAGCACCCTTGCCGAGGTCAGACAGGTCACTGGGCTTCCTGCTTGCTGAGGGGGTTGCGGGCTGTTAGGTGGCCGCGTGGGGTCGCTGGCCCGTAGAGCCCCAGAAACGGGCTCCCAGCAGCCTATATGTTCTGCTAGCTGTGGGTGTTGACAGCCTCCTCTCTCCATAGCCTGAGCGATGGAGACTTGCTAAGCTCTGTGCTCTGTGCGATCAGTTCTTTTGTGTGCCGGTCCTGGGGCTTGAACTCAGGGCCTGGGTGCTCTTTCTTAGCTTTTTCCTAAGGCCAGTAGTGCTCTACTACTTGAGCCACAGCTCCACTTCTGACTTTTTGGTGGTTCATTGGAGATAAAGAATCTCACAGATATACCTTCCCAGGGCTGGTTTTACACTGCGATCCTCAAACCTCAGCCTCCTGAATAGCTAAGATTACAGGCGCAAGCCACCAGCACCTGGCCTGATTAAGTTCTGTTGTAATAAAAGAGCACAAAGCAGAGACTGCCAAACTGCAGAGGTTGCCCCCCCAAAAAAATACCCCCCATCCCCACCCCCCGGCAAAACTGGAAACCAAGTGTTTTGCTTCTTGTAAACTTGGCACCTTGGTCTCCTCTCTACATCTGGAATTTTTCTATCCGAGTGGTCCCAGAATTTGTGTGATGGAGTTTCTGCAATGATGTTGAGTGCCTGGAAAACAAAATGGGTAATAATTAAATTCTGCAATGAGACTCCGCTCCGTTCAGCTTCTGCATCTTTTGTCCCCTTCCAGAATGAGTTTGCTCCAAATTTCTGCCCTCCGCCCCCAGGGTATCTTTGGTTTCCAGAAAGACTGGCCTTTGGAGACTGGTGCTTGACCAAAGCACATTTCTGTTGTATTATTCGTATGAAGATCCAGTTCTCATCTTTATTTGAAGTTTCCCTCCTACCGTAGTTTTTAGAAGAGCCGGCCCACTTGGACTGCTTTTCCACACCAATGTTGTCTCCTGGTCCCCTGGTCTACCTCTGGGCCTGAGCTGTGGGGAGGCCAGGACCAAGCCAGGCTGCCCAAGTTCTGCTCAGCACAGGCTGAGTGTTGGGGCTCTGGGGGGAGCAGCTGGTTGATGGCGCTCGCAGACTCCTGCTCTCCTTGTTCCAGATCCGCAGGCTGAGGATCGAGATTGAGAAGCTTCAGTGGCTGCACCAACAGGAGCTCTCGGAAATGAAGCATAACCTGGGTAGGTACAGCCAGCTGCAGGGTCTACACAGAGCAGGATTGGGTATGAACCTCTCGACTCTCTGGGGCGGGGGGGACCGTGTGGAGAGTCCAGCCTGGACAAGTCAGGCACCAAGGAGGTGTGGGGTATTCTGAATGTTCAGACGGTCCCCAACTTAACAATGAGTCAGCTCAGCTTACAATGTTCAACTTCACAATGACACAGAACGAATGGTGTATACTCAGGAAAAAGCCTGCTTGGGACTCTGCGCCCTTCTCCTTCCCGGGGCCGGCGCTGTGTGGCGCTGTGGCTCTGAGCCCGTGGCCTGCTCTCGTCAGCTCAGACACGCGGGGAAGCTGCCATCCCTGGATATAGGTCAATGGGTCAGGTGAACAGTTCCCCTCTCTCCCCTGCCCCAGAGCTGACCATGGCCGAGATGCGGCAGAGCCTGGAGCAGGAGCGGGACCGGCTCATCGCCGAGGTGAAGAAGCAGCTGGAGCTGGAGAAGCAGCAGGCGGTGGATGAGACCAAGAAGAAGCAGTGGTGCGCCAACTGCAAGAAGGAGGCCATCTTCTACTGCTGCTGGAACACCAGCTACTGCGACTACCCGTGCCAGCAGGCGCACTGGCCCGAGCACATGAAGTCCTGCACCCAGTCAGGTAGCGCCGGGGCTGCCAGGACGGCTGCGGCGGGCGGGCGGGCGGCACTGGGCACCAGGCAGGTCATGGGGACCCAGGGCCAGTGCCAGGGGAGGCCCAGCCTGGCCCCATCTCGCACGTGCACTCACCATTCCTGATGCCATGCACGGAACCACAGATGCACACCTGTAGCCTTTGCTTTCCTCTTAGTCCAAGGGTGTCCCTAAGCGCCCCATCGTACAGGGATCCCCCACACTCAGATCGTATGGCCCCAGAAGTCAGTGGCACTGACTTGAAGAGCTGTTTTTTGTTTACTTGCTTGTTTTTGTCAGTTGTGGGACTTGAACTGAGGGTCTGAGCGCTGTCCTGAGCTCTTTAGCTCAAAGCTAGTGCTTTATCACTTTGAGCTACAGCTCCACTTCTGGTTTTCTGGTGGTTAATTGGAGATAAGAGTTTTAGGGCTGGTTATGTGGGTATGCTAATAATAAGGTGTAGCAGACTGGGAAGGTGGCTCAGTGGTAGAGCGCTTGCCTTGCATGCCCCAGGCCCTGGGTTCTATTCCTCAGTACCACATAAGCAAAAAGAAAAAAGTCAGAAGTGGCGCTGTGGCTCAAGTGGTAGAGCGCTAGCCTTGAGCTGAAGAGCTGAGGGATATCGCCCAGGCCCAGAGTTCAGGCCCCACGACTGGATTCCCCCCCCCCCCAAAAAAAAAAAACAAAAAAAGACGCCAGTGTCCCGCAAACTGTTGCTTTTTTGGGTAATAATTGATTCATGGCTTTCAATAATTGGATTCCCTTTTTTTTTTAGGGGAAAAAAAGGAGTGTAGAGTTGGTTATATGCCAATAAAACTTTATTTACAAAGCAGGGAATGCTAGTTTGGGGTTCCCATTCAGGATGAATTTCTCCTTGTTTCTTGAGGCTTGACCTCAGGGCCTGGGCACTGCCCCTGATTTTACCGCTTGAGCCCCAGAGCCATTTCTGGCTTTTTCTATTTATGTGGTACTTATGAATCAAACCCAGGGCTTCATGCATGCTAGGCAAGCACTCTACCCCTAAGCCACATTCCCAGCCCCATCCTTGTTTCTTTTTTAGAAGCAACGCTGGTGAGCTTTCTTGTGTTTTGTAACCTTTAAGGGGAGATTCCTTTCTTGCAGACTTTTTTCTTTTTTGGTGGGTCGTACATTGCTGCCCTGGCTGGCTTTGAACTGTGATCCTCAGATCTCAGCCTCCCGAGTAGCTGGGATGACAGGCATGGGCCGCCAGCACCTGGTCCTTGCAGACATCCAAGGCTTCCCCTGCAGAATGGCCTAGCTGCCCGCAGCTCCTGCCCTGGCCCAGGGTTGTGTGGCGTGGGGATTTGTGTGCAGTGCTTGTACAGAACCTCACGGCCCCGTCTGACCTCCCGTGTGTTCCTGACTCCCTCTCAGACACAGCCCAGTCCTTGTGGCTCTGAAAGGCATTGACCAAGGCGCATTGGCCTGGCGGTGACCACCCACCGTGCGAGTGGGGTCCCTGGCTTCTCTCTCCAGGAGGACTTCCATCTCCAATGGCTCAGGAGGAAAAGATTCAGCTTTTCACAGATCCAGTCACTGTGGGCTGGGTGGGGCTGGGACTCGGAGGGCTGTGGGTGTGAGCGAGGTTCCACGGGGAAGCCGTCTCGTGGCACGAGTGCCACGTGGCCTGAGCATGCCTCCCTTGCCCCGTGTCCCCAGCCACCGCCCCCCAGCCGGAGGCCGAGGCCGAGGCCAGCACCGACGCGGGAGCCAAGTCGTCGCAGGGCAGCTCGGCCAGCACACAGCCGGCCCCTGCAGAGCCGGCCAGTGCCTCCAAGGAGAAGGAGGCCTCGGCCGAGAAGAGCAAGGACAGCAGCTCGGTGAGCACCCCTGCACCTTGGGCCCCCTGCCAGCAACACCCCCAAGCCAGCTCTGTGCGGTACAGGTTGTCAGACCACAGGGTGACGATGGGTTTTAACATGGGCTCATTGTGGCCAGTGTTCCCCGGTTCGAGTCTACACCATGGGAATGCACTGGCCATGTGGGTGTGGGCTGGGCTCTGCCCGGCCCCTCTCCAGGGCCCCATGGTGGGAATTCTTTCTCTTCTGCCCCCTCATAGGAGCTGCCAGCCACAAAGGAGTCATTGAGCACTGCAAGTGTGGCTTATGTGAGCATGGAACTGATTTGTTGTTGTTATTGGTAGTCGTGGGACTTGAACTCAGGGCCTGGGCTCTGTCCCTGAGTTCTTTTGCTCAAGGGCTAGCAATTCTACCACTGTGAGCCATTGCTCATTTCTTCTTTTTTTTTTTTTTTATGTTAATTGAAGACAAGTCTAGGGGACTTTTCTGCCCAGGCTGGCTTCGAACCACGATCCTTCGGATCTCAGCTTCCTGAATAGCTAGGATTCCAGGCATCATGAGCCACCAGGGCCGTGTGTGTGTGTGTGTGTGTGTGTGTGTGTGTGTGTGTGTGTGTGTGTGTGTGTGTGTGTGTGTGTGTGTGTGTGTGTGTGTGTGTGTGTGTGTGTGTGTGTGTGTGTGTGTGTGTGTGTGTGTGTAATTAGTTTAATTTCAGGAGCCATATGTGGCTAGTGGTGTCATAACCAGCTCCAGTGGTCACCCTGCCCATCCCTGTGTGTGCTGTCTGTGACATTCACTGCAGCCCAAGTCTGTTAGTGATCTTTTACATTGTAGCTACTCAGTCAGAATTAGGACAAGTGAAATTGTCAGGCTGTCAGGAAGAACACCTTAAGATTGATTAGCTGACTACAGCCCACAACAGGTTCACATAAATCGAATGAACTGATTGATTTTTGACTATTAGAATTGGTACTGGTTGTATTCTGTGGTGTGTATTGTATTGTGTCTATTGTATTTCTAGACCCTGGACCTTTCTGGCTCAAGAGAGACGCCCTCCTCTATTCTCCTCGGCTCTAACCAAGGCTCTGGTATGTCCCCCATGGCGGGAGGAAGGCGTTTCCCCGCTTCCCAGGTCCCATGGGGAACTGATTTGTCGGGAAGACACTGGCAGTGGTTTTCAGACGATTGCAGATCCATGGGAGTGCCCGGCACGCGTCCCCAGGGCACCAGTGCGGCCGGGCAGCCTCCGGGCAGCTATCCATACGCTCAGGATTTACCCGTTGGTTGTGTTTCTCGAATGAACTTCATCTGGAGCAGGGTTCCTCACTCATCAAGTGAGGTCCTGGAGAGCTGCCTGGAGCCGTCTCAGGGAGACAAAGACAGGGCAGGTGGAGGGGCTTTGCGGCTGGGGTCCTCTGATAGGTGTTAAGGGGTGCTCTGAGGCTTCTGTGGTGTGGAACCCTTTTCCCCTCGTACTAGGAACGTAAACCAGCCCATTCAGAGAGGGGTTGACCAGAGCCTGCTTTTGCTGATCGTGTGCCCAGGTTGAGTGGCCCGAGGCTTCTCTGCCCAATGTCAATGCCCAAGGGGGGCACATTTCTGCAGGAACACAGCCTTGAAGGGCAGGGGATGGGTGTGAGTTGGAGGGAATGGCAGGCTCTCAGGGAGAAGAGGAGCCTGGCGTTGACTATGATCACGGGGCCGCGCTCCTCCTGTTCTGTAGTTGTCGCTGTAGCTGGACTGCAGGTGTGGGCCATCTCTTCTTCCTTCAGTCTTCACAAGTGGTCTTGTTGGTTTTGCGCTAGAGCTCAGCCCAGACTGGCCTTGAAATCTCAATTCTCCTATATTAGCCTCCTGAGAGCTGGGATTACAGGCGTGTAGTCCCATGCCCATCTCTAATCCTACCTTTAATATAATAGTACAGTTTGGTTTGTATTGGTGTTAACTGGAAGAGTTGTTTTCTACTTTTGGCAAGTTTAATTGAGCCTTTAATTTTTGGTTTATGAAGTTGTGCTGAAAGTTGTTTTCTTGTTTGTTTGATTTTTGTTTCTGCCAGTGCTGGGGTTTGAACTCAGGCCTCATATTTGCAAGGTACATGCTTTGCCCCTTGAGCCGTGCCCCCAGCCCTGAATATATCTTCTTTTGTACAGAACTGGGCTTTTAACTTGGAGTGTTATGCTTGCTAGGCAGGTGCTCTACCACTGAGCCACACGTCCAACCATTTGTGCGCAATTATTTTGACACAGGGTCTTAACTTTTTGTCCAGGCCCTGGCCTGGGCTTTGAGTCCTTCTGTTATGCGTCTCACCGTGGCTGAGAGGACAGGCTTGCACGCCCATGCCCAGCTCCTTCCGCTGAAACGAAGCCTTGTGAACTGTTTTGTGAGGGTTCTCCTGGAGCTGCAATCCTCCTGATCTCAGCATCCCGCTGTGCCAAGCGTCTTGTTGAAATGGGGTCTCCCAAACTCTTGCCCTCTGATCCTTCTGAGTAGTCTTTCTCTTGGAAAATAAGTGGAGAACAAAGGTAGAACTCAGCGGTCACTCGGAGTAGCATGCGTGTGTCACAGTCCAGGGGCGTGAGGCGGGCCAGGTTGGAAAATGGCGTCAGACACGGTGCCGTGCAGCATGTGAAGCGGCAGAGGTTGGAGCAGCCTGGCCTCTGGGAGGACTTGCGTGGCGGCAGTGTGGAGAGTGCACGCGGGGAGGGCGGCCACGGGATCGCGGTGGTGAGGTCGAGGTGAAGGAGGCCTGGCTTAGACCAGGCTGGGCGGGCCAGTCGTTCAGGGTGCATTAAACATGGCAGCTGTGGTCTCTGCCCCGTGTGGTCTCTGTCCCGCTGCACCTGTGGCAGGAAAGTGGGCACAGCTGGCCATGCCTTACACCTGGCTGTGAAGGGTCAGCCTTGAAGAATGCAGGTGGCCTTGGACCGCACGGGCTTGCAGGCGGGAGTTTACAAATCCCCAGCCTGAAGCACTCCTGGTCCAGGGAGAGGAATGGGAGGCTGTCGGGTTCGGGGGTGGGGTGACCAGGAGAGGAGAACCCGGCTGGTGTTGGTGGCTGGGTGGAGTTTATCTGAACTTTACAGATCACGGCCTGTTTCCATGGCTCTTCTGAGTCTGTAAGACCACTCAATGCCGGGCGCTGGTGCTCACGCCTATAATCCTAACTACTTTGGAGTCTGAGATCCGAGGATCATGGTTTGAAGCCAGCCGAAGCAGGAACGTCCATGAGATTCATGTCTAAGGAAGTAGAGGTGTGGCTCAAGTGGTAGAGCACTAGCCTTGAGCAAAAAATTAAAACCCCAAAGAGATGGTATCCAGGTCCTGAGCCTGGAGCCAGTGCGGCTGCCCAGCCCCCAGCCCCTCCCAGGGAATCGGGGAAGGGGAGGCAGAAGAAGTGTTGGTGGGAGAGGATGGTAGCGAGGTTGGTGCCCCTCAGTGGAGGCCGCTTCGTGGAGGTCACTCCATAGAGGCCCAGGATGCTTCATCTTTCAGGCTTCCCAAAGCCTTTTGCTGAGGAGTCAGGTCATGGGAAACTCGGTCCGTTTCCACCCTCTCCCTTGCTCATTCATCTGTGGAGCCTCCCAGCCAGGGTTGGGTGCGGAGTTAGGGACACGGGACCTGGCAGGCTGTCAGAGCACCAGCGTGTCAGCCCCGGCCTCTGCACAGGTCCCAGGATGGCAGGCAGAGAAGTGGGGTGAACCTCCCCTCCCACCCCGCAAGGCACGCCTGGGTGGAGCGGGGTACTCCCTGGCCCATTTCACCCCGCCCTCCTTACTTCTCTTCTGAATGAAGGTGCTGCCCTGGATTGAACTTTGGGCCTTACTGGCGCTTTTGCTCACCTGGCTTGTTTGGCTGGCAATCTGTCCCTTGGGCCATGCCCCCACACTGGCTTTTTGCTGGAGTCTTGAGGACTTTTTGTTTAAACTTGGGCTGGCCCTGAACCATGATCCCCTGGATGTTCTTAGTCTCCTGATGACAGATGCTCTGCTCTTCACTCTGCCTTCAGATGTTCTCAGTGAGGCCCTGCTGGAAGGGCAGAGTTGGGTCCCTCAAGTGGCTTCTCTCTTCCTTGTCTCCAACTCCTGAGACCACCCCCCCCCCCCCCCGCCTCCTCTGACCGCTGCCTCATCCTGTCTTCTCCCCTCTGGGGCTGCCCAGCCTCTGCCTGGCGGTCACCATGGCCGTGGGCGCGTTCATATGTTGTCTGTCTCTGGGTCTGATTGGAGTGTGGAAATCCTATTCCTGCCTGTCCTTGTGTAGCCGTGTGTTGTCCTGAGCTTTCCGTCCTTCTTGTTTTTCTCCTGTATCTTTTATTTTTTAGTGTTTGTGCCAGTCCTGGGGCTTAAACTCCGGGCCTAGGTGCTATCTCTGAGCTTTTTTTTGCTCAAGGCTGGCACTTGGCCACTTGGGCTACAATACCACTTCCCGTTTTCTGGTTAATTGGAGATAAGAGTCTCGCCCATTTTCTTGCCTCAGCTGTCTTCGAACTGCAGCCCTCAGATCTTAGCCTCCTGAGTAGCGAGGATTATAGGTGTGAGCCGCCAGTACCCAGCTGTGTCAGACTCCCTCCCTCCCTCCCCCCTCTCCTTCCTTCCCTTCTGGTTTCTTTCATTGGCTCCTCTTCCCCTCCCTGTCTCCCCTCCTTTCTTTCCTTCCTTCCTTTCTCTCTTCCTTCCCCCTTTCTCTGCAGTTTTTGGAGGTCTCCCCGTGTGCCCCGCCAGCCTGGCCTCCTCCTTGGCCTGGCGCTGGGACTCTGGTGGCTCCAGTCTTGCTGGGTGTGCGGTGCGCAGTGTCTGGTCGCGGGGCGTGCGTGTCCCTGCAACCCAGTTCCCCGCTTGTGGTTGGTGTCGCGGGCGCACGTGCGCGTGTACCTGTGGCTTGGTCCACGTGTGTGTGGCAGGTTGGAGCGCGTGGCGTGATGGCAGGGTCACCCGGGGGTGCCAGGAGCCCCCCAGGTAGGCAGGCGGCAAGCGTGGGGTGCGCGGCCGGCGTCGAGCTGGGGGGCAGACGCTGAGGCTCCCTGTGCTGTCTCTTCAGTGAGCAAAAGGTGTGACAAGCCAGCCACCAGCACCCCAACCTCCACCGACCGCCAGCCGCACCCCACCTACCCAGCCCACAAGTGTAAGTATTGCTGCCGCAGCCATGTCCTGTGTGTGTCTGTGTGTTCTCGCGTGTCTGTCCTGCGTGGGGTGGGCCTGGTGTCACGGCGCCTTCCTACCGTGCCTCAGTGTTCCTTCAGCTACTCGAGCCCCCCCCCCTTCCCCCAGCCAAGCCTCTGCTTCCTGCGATTCCATGCCCCCCCCCCCCCCCCGGCCCAGCCCTCCCCAGCGCTGGGAGGATGTGGTGAGATTTGGTGGCCTCACTGGGGGATTTTCTTATGTACCCCCAAACCAGCGACGTTTCCTCCCCCCCCCCCCCCCAACCCCAGACACCTTGAGAGGAGCCAAGAGCACGGGCACGTGCGTCCCAGAGGAACTGGGGGTCTTGGGGAGAGCTCCACCCCCACCCGGCCCTGTCCCCCAACACTGCCCACTTGGGTCATCTGTGCTAGGCTGAGGGGTGCTTTCTGAGTGAACCCTACGATCCTTAACCCTCTTGGTACTGGTGATGACACACAGCTCCTGTCAGTTTTCTGCTGCCCTGGGTCTGGCAGGAAAGAGTAGTCTTGTGAGGAATGGGGGGGGGGGGGGGATGCGCTCCTTACCCACCCCAGCCCTGCAGGCCTCTGAGCCTCACCCCTAACGTCTTCCTACCCCAGATGGAGAAGTAAACAAGAAAAACACCGATCTGTGCTCCCCATGATGGTCTGCCTGGGGCTGGGCTGGCAGCTCGGGCCATGGCTGGCTGCACCTCACCTGCAGGCTGGCCTTTTGTGTTTTGTTGTTGTTGTTTGTGTGTTTGTTTTTTTGTGCCAGTACTGGGGCTTGAACTCAGAGCCTGCACTAACCCTTCATCTTTTCCCTCAAGGCTAAAGCTCTACCACTTGAGCCACAACTCCACTTCTGACTTTTTGTGGTTAAGTCTCAGGGACTTTTCCTGCCTAGGCTGACTTCGAACCATGATCTTCAGATCTCAGCCTCTCAGCTGAGTGGTTAGCATGACAGGCGTGAGCCGCCAGCACCGGGCCGGACTGACATTTGGTGGCTGGAGCTCTTCCTGGCCTTTTCCCTCTCTTCAGCCTCCTGTGCTCCGTGCCCATGTGTCCTCGGAGCCATCTTGGGTGGCTGCGTGTCCTCCTTGGGTCTGGGGGTTCTCTGTCCCCTGGATGAGCTGGCTGTCCATCTCTCCTTTGACCTCTGGCCTCTCCCTGGGGTGGGCTTGTGTGCTTTGCCCGTGTGCGGCCCACGTGCCAGATACGGCGCCCGAGGTGGGAGTGCATGGCGTGCGGGGTGGTGCTCAGGCCTGCCACGAGTGTCTGTATGGTTCTAGGGGGAACATTGAGCTGAACCCCACATCCTACACGCAGCACCCCACATGACTGGTGGTGGACCCTGGGCTCTGGCGTGGAGGCGGGTGGGTGAGTCTTGCCTTTGTCCCGCAGATCATTCCCGGAGCAGCAAGTGTGGGGCCCGGAGCGGCGGTGAGGAGAAGAGAGGCTCCACGCGTGCCGAACACAGCGCCAGCACCAGCACCAAGAATCTCCTGGCCAAGGAGACCCGGCTGGACCCCTTCTGGGACTAGGGGCTGCTGAGGGGGGGCCGCCCCGCCCCCCACACCCTGGGACAGTCGCCGCCCTCAGACCCGGCCCGGCGCCCTGCACTGCCCGAGGCCCGGGCCGCGCTGTACATACTGTACACTTTGTGCATAGCCCCGATAGAGCGCCTGCCCTTTTTATATTTCTATTGACTTTTAACTTATAAAAAAAAAAAGAAAAAGTAAAAACAACTTAGAAAAACCCAAACCCAACCACAACTGGGGATGCTTGCTCGGCCCGCGGGGTCAGGCGGGGTCAGGCAGGGCAGGGGGCTGAGCCCGGGGAGGGCTGTGGCACAGGTTCTCCAGGGAGGGCAGCCACTGTCGCCTGACCCATCTGCTCCCCGCTGCATTGGGGTCAAGAGTTCGAGCCCGGGCTATGTGGTTGGGGCTCACCTCAGAAGCCATTCGCAGCCCACCTCCTCCCCCCCCCACTCCCCCCCTTCCCGGGCCACACTGTCCAACGTTGCTAGGAAGGGCCGGCTGCCCACGCCAGAAGGACACACACGGAGAAGCGTGTGTTTCGGGTGATTTCTCCTCAAAGGGAAACCGATATCCTTGTTTACAAACCATCTGCAGAAAGACCCCGCGTGCACGGTCACGCAGCACAGGACCGGGACCAGAGGATGGTGAACTTGGTTTTGTTCTTTGATTCCTTCCCTCAGCCGCCCGCGCAGCCTTATGGAGACGAGGAGGCGGCCCGAGGCCGGGAGGACGCATGTTCTGTATTATTTATAACCACACGAGTTCCACGTCTTTAGGGAAGCATGAAGCCCAGCCGTGCGCGAGGAAGCCCGGCCTGTCCCACGCTGCCGGTCACGCCACGCTGCTCTCCCCTCCTGGGGACACATCCACGGGAGTGAGAGGTGATATGTGTATATGAGAACATTAACTGTACGATATCATTCCAGTACATTCTGTTGTACATTTTAGTCTCGTTTACTTTTCATTGTCGATAAGAGGATGCGAACTGTACAGTTTCCAGCTAGTCACCCCCCATTAGAAAAGAAAGAAGAGATACTAGAAGAAAACCAGAGACAGAGGGAGAGACACAGAGACAGAGAACAGTTGTGCATTGCAGTTGTCAAAACAAAAAATAGCCTAGCTGGCCTTATTTGTGAGGCATAATTGCTTTTAGCATATGGAAGTATTTTTTCATATTTTCTTTGTATAAAATTTGTATTAAACTTAAATATCTTTTTTGATGATGGTGTCTGTTTGTGACTAAGCTGTGGACTCAACACACGAGGCCTTTTGGACCCTTCACTTTCTCCTCTCCCAATTTTCAGATTCTTTACCTTTATCTCTCTTGTTTTGTTTTGGTTGGTTGTAGGGCTTGAACTCGAGGTCTGGGTCTGAGCTCTTTTGCTCAAGACCAGTGCCCTGCCTATCACTTTGAGCCACATCGCCACTTCCAGTTTTCTGGTGGTTCATTGGAGAGAAGAGTCTCATGGACTTTCCTGCCCAGACTGGCTTTGAATGGTGATCCTTAGATCTCAGCCTCCTGAGTAGCTAGGATCACAGGTGTGAGCCACCAGCACCTGGCTCTTTACCTCTTTTCCAATTAAACTGTTTTGGAAATGTGGTTGGCTCAGATTGGCCATTTTCCATGGGCTGGGGTGCTGTCTCCGCTTTCCAGCAAACACCAGGCGTCTGCAGAGGCCATGGGCTGCACGGGGGCCCGCGGGGGCTTCTGGGGCAGCCTTAGGAGAGCGGAGCTGAGGTGGAGGCCGAGCTGCAGGCCGAGTGTGGCAGCAGGATGGGATGACAGCCAAGCTACGGGTTCTGGGGGTTTTCAGGCCAATGGTTCCCCCAGGAAAGACACCTCCCCCTTTCTGCTGAGGTTGTTTGTGCTCCATATGGGGTCTAAACATATGGGGTGGCTCGTTAGAATGACCAAAAAGGAACAGGGCTGTGTCCAGTGCTGTCCTGCACTGGGGGAGAGGTGACGCTTCCCTTCTCCTGGAAGTGGAAGTCACTCAGCTTTTCCCCCCAGCATTGGAGATGAAATGAACTCAGATTCACACTGAAGTTACATCTCAGTCCTCTGCTTTTAAGGTGTTTTCTTTTTCGCTGGGACTGAGGTTTGAACTGAGTCTCATCCTCTTGCTTAGCTTTTTTTTCTTTTTAAATCAGTCATGGGGCTTGAACTCAGGGCCTGGGTGCTGTTCCTGAGCTCTTGCTCAAAGTCAGCCCTCTACCACTTAAACCCACAGCACCACTTCCGGTTTCCTGGTGGTTAATAATTGGAGATGAGTCTCTGAACCATGGTCCTCAGATCTCAGCATCCTGAGTAGCTAGGATTACAGGTGGGAAACACCAGCTCGCCTTTTTTAGCTTTTTCTGTTCAAAGCTGGCACTCTACCACTTGATCCACACTTCCTCTTCTGGCTTTTTGCTGGGAAAAGACAAGAAGTCTCATTTCCCTAAAAGCACTGTTCATGTCCACATGTTGTCAGTGAGCTGGCTTCGGAGGTTAAGCCAGCCTGCAGGAGAGCTAGGCTGCTTTCCTGTGGGTCTGTATCCTGGTGCATGGGGGAGGGGTGCAGGGTGAAGCCACACCCACCAACTGGCTGAAGTTCTTGTCATGTTCATTTTTGGCCCCAACTTTACTATTGGATTTCTTTATTGGTGTCAGTCTTGGGACCTGAACTCGAGGTCTGGTGTGCTGTTCCTGGCTTTGGTGCTCACCACCACAGCCCCACTTATGGTTTTTTGTTGGTTCATTCTCAGGGACTTTCTTGCCCAGGCTGGCTTTGAACCATGATCCTCATATCTCAGCCTCCTGAGTAGCTAGGATTACAGGTATGAGCCACAGGTTCCTGGCATTACTGCTATATATATATATATATATATATATATATATATATATATATTTTGGGTCCGGTCGTGGGGTCTGATGTCCCTCAGCTCTTCAGCTCAAGGCTAGCGCTCTACCACTTGAGCCACAGCGCCACTTCCGGCTTTTTTCTTTTTGCTTACGTGGTGCTGAGGAATTGAACCCAGGGCCTCATGCATGCAAGGCAAGCGCTCTACCACCGAGCCACCTTCCCAGCCCCATACTGCTATATTTTAAACCTAGTTTTAAACTGTGCCCAGAGAGCTCCTAGGTACAGAAACAAAATCCCACCATTACCCCAAAGAATGTAAACTACACCATTAACAACAGTCCACGATTGAACTTGAGCACAGGAACACATATTGGAACAGAGTATTATGAACAAATCTGGGAACCATTGCTTATGTGCCACCCTTTGAAGACATCCTGCTGTGAGCAGGTCTGGGGTGTGTGTATGTGTATGTGACCTTTCTGTCCATCCTTGGGCCTGAGTCCACCGCTGATGACCAAACCGCTTGCCAAAGTATCTCAGTTAAGTCTTGTTTTATCCCTGCTTCCTGATCCACTCCACCTGCAGGTGGCTGTGGGAACACACTGCCCTCTGGTGGTCACTGGCAAGCACAGCTTGCTGGTGCTGGGCTGGCATCCATCCGCTCAGTGTGTGGGAAAGTATGACCCAGTCCAGTGCTTTTAGCTTTTACCTCACCAGAGCCTTGTTTATACAGAAGAATCATAGGCCAGGCACTGATGGCTCATGCCTGTGGCCCTAGCTACTCAGGAGCCTGAGATCTGGGGATCATGGTTCAACGCCAGCCCAGACAGAAAAGTCTGTGAGATTCATCTCCAATGAACCCTCCCAAAAAGCTGGAAGTGGAGCTCTGGCTCAAGTGATAGTGTTAGCTCTGAGCAAAATAAGCTCAGGGATAGCACCTAGGTCCTGAGTTCAAGCCCCAGGATGGACACTAACACACACACAAACACACACCTGCAGTATTTCATCCCTAAATTGAGCATCAAGGAGCCGTGGCTCAGGTCTGCCAGCACAGCAAGGGTGCGACTCTTATGGATGGAGGGTTTTGCTCAAAGACCAAAGAGGCATCTTCCATCTCAGCGATGAGGCCAACCCAGAAGTCTCCTAGGAGAAAGCTCTGAGAGACACTTGTCTCTGTTCCTCTTGTTTGACTCAACACCAGTTTCCCCAGGATTTTATTTTGCAACTGAAGAAGACCTCCCCACGTGCGGCCCTGAGGAGTGAGAACAGAGGAGCTGCATTGAGCTTCAGAATGTAAACGTGGTTTTATTTTATGCCTTTCATCCGTCAGAGTTCCACTTCCTTTCCGTGTTCCCCTCTTCCAAGAAAGCAAGATGGCAGCATAAGGCACCAATACTGTCCACGTGACATGGCAGGGAGGGGTCTCCCCGGCAGCCCCTGACTGCCTTCCTCACTGATAGTCAAGGAGTGACTGTCCTCCCCCGCCTGCCCCTCAAAGCGCCTCGCAGAGAACTGTGAGCTGCCCACGTGCCAGTTCCAAACCCAAACCAACCACTAAGAAAACCAAGACAGGTATGAGGGCATAACACAGAGTCGTGAGATTCGTCCATAAATTAAAACAAGAAACAACCCCCCCCCCCCCCACCTCCGTCCCACCAGCCTCCAGGGCCGACTGGCTGAGTCTTGGGGCAGGATCTGGTTCCCCAGGCCGCATTCCCTGGCACTCTGCTCCTTCAGATGCCAGCTTGAACCGAGCGGGCGGGCACTTCTGAGATGACTGGTGGACTTGTCCCCGAGGGCAGAGGCGGCCAGGTGTCCTGTGTCCAGGTGTCTGGGGCAGTCGTGGGGAGGCAGGAGGGACGAGGATCCTAGACCAGAGGACAGCAGGTGGAGCCCGCGACACAGCTATAAATACTCCAGTTCCAGCGCGTGGCGCAGGGCCTCCAGGTCAGCGTGGCAGGACACCCGCCAGAAAGGCATGTTGTGCTGGGACATACAAGGTGCAGGTTATACGTGCCCTGACCCCATGGTCACACACAGACGCTGCAGTCATATGACTGACCCCACGATCACACACTGACCCCACGATCACACACTGACCCCACGATCACACACTGACCCCATGATCACACACTGACCCATTGATCACACATTGACCCCCACGATCACACACTGACCCCACAAACACACTAACCCCACGATCACACACTGACCCCATGATCACACACTGACCCCACGATCACACACTGACCCCACAAACACACACTGACCCCACGATCACACACTGACCTCACAAACACACTAACCCCACGATCACACACTGACCCCACAATCACACACTGACCTGACCTCATGATTACACACTGACCCCATGATCACACACTGACCCCACGATCACACACTGACCTCATGATCACACACTGACCCCATGATCACACACTGACCCCACGATCACACACTGACCCCACAATCACACATTGACCCCCACGATCACACACTGACCTCACGACCACACACTGACCCCACGATCACACACTGACCCCACGATCACACACTGACCCATTGATCACACACTGACCCCATGATCACACACTGACCTCACGATCACACATTGACCCCCACGATCACACACTGACCTCACGACCACACACTGACCCCACGATCACACACTGACCCCACGATCACACACTGACCCATTGATCACACATTGACCCCATGATCACACACTGACCTCACGATCACACATTGACCCCCACGATCACACACTGACCTCACGACCACACACTGACCCCACGATCACACACTGACCCCACGATCACACACTGACCCATTGATCACACACTGACCTCACGACCACACACTGACCCCATGATCACACTGACCCCACGATCACACACTGACCTCATGATCACACACTGACCCCATGATCACACACTGACCCCACGATCACACACTGACCCATTGATCACACATTGACCCCACGATCACACACTGACCCATTGATCATACACTGACCTCACGACCACACACTGACCCCATGATCACACTGACCCCATGATCACACACTGATCTCATCATCACACACTGACCCCATGATCACACATTGACCCCACAATCACACACTGACCCCACGATCACACACTGACCTCACAATCACACATGGACTCCATGATCACACACTGACCTCATGATCACACACTGACCCCATGATCACACACTGACCCCATGATCACACACTGACCCCACGATCACACACTGACCCCATGATCACACACTGACCCCATGATCACACACTGACATGATCACACACTGACTCCATGATCACACACTGACCCCATGATCACATACTGACCTCATGATCACACACTGACCCCACGATCACACACTGACCCCACGATCACACACTGACCCATTGATCACACACTGACCCATTGATCACACACTGACCCCGCGATCACACTGACCCCATGATCACACACTGACCTGATCTCATGATTACACACTGACCTCACAATCACACATGGACCCCATGATCACACACTGACCCCATGATCACACACTGACCTCATGATCACACACTGACCCCATGATCACACACTGACCCCACGATCACACACTGACCCCACGATCACACACTGACCCCACGATCACACACTGACCCCACGATCACACACTGACCCCACGATCACACACTAACCCATTGATCACACATTGACCCCACGATCATACACTGACCCCTCGATCACACTGACCCCATGATCACACACTGACCCCATGATCACACACTGACCCCATGATCACACACTGACCCCATAATTACACTGACCCCACGATCACACACTGACCCCACGATCACACACTGACCCCACGATCACACACTGACCCATTGATCACACACTGATCCATTGATCACACACTGACCCATTGATCACACACTGACCTCACGACCACACACTGACCCCGCGATCACACTGACCCCATGATCACACACTGACCCCATGATCACACACTGACCCCACGATCACACACTGACCCCACGATCACACACTGACCCCACGATCACATACTGACCTCACAAACACACTGACCTCACGACCACACACTGACCCCATGATCACACTGACCCCATGATCACACACTGACCCATTGATCACACACTGACCCCATGATCACACACTGACCTGACCTCATGATTACACACTGACCTCATGATTACACACTGACCTCACAATCACACATGGACCCCATGATCACACACTGACCCCACGATCACACACTGACCTCACGATCACACTCTGACCCCACGATCACACTGAACCCACGATCACACACTGACCCCACGATCACACACTGACCTCATGATCACACACTGACCCCATGATCACGCATTGACCCTGTGAATACACACTGACCCTGTGATCATGTGCTGACCCCATGATCATTACTGACCCTACCAGTCAGCTGGAGGCCTCTCCAATCCCAGGTCCAGGGATTGACCCAGAGATCTGACCAAACAGACTGCGCTCTGAACTGCTGTGGAGTCACGTGACAGCTCACTTGATTTGCTGCCATTGGTGTTTGGTCAGACCCTGTGTATCTCCTGAGTTGTTATTATTTATAAAGCCAGCAGATATACTTTAAAAAGAAGCAAGCCCACCTTATTTTCAGATTAAGCACAAGTTTTGGCCAAATGTAGTTTTAAAAAAATTAAGTTAAAAAAATCAAAAGAAATGATAAGCCAGGTGACAGCAGCTTACACCTGTAATCCCAGCTCCTTGGGAGGCTCAGATTTGGAGGTTTAAGGCCAACTGGAGCAAAACGTGCTTGAGACTCATTTCAACCAATAGCTGCACATTGTGGTACATGCCTGTCATGCCAGCTATGGCTGGAAACTAAATAGGAGGATTGTAACATTGAAGAAAAAATAAAAGATTGTCTCAGAAATAGCCGGAGAAGCAGGGCTGGGGTTGTAATGGCAGTCCTGCCTGGGTGTCTCTCTAGGGTGCTGTTGGCAGATCTAGATTTAGAACGGTGGCAAAACCAGCATCACCGCCACCACTGAAAAATAAAAAGTAAAAAGAAATTCAAAGAAAAATATCAAATTCCTGCACACAGGGCTGGGAAGGTGGCTCCGTGGTAGAGTGCTTGCCTCACACACATGAGGACCTGGGTTTGATTCCTCAGCAACACAAACAGAAAAAACTGGAAGTGGCACTGTGGCTCAAGTGGTAGAGCACTAGCCTTGAGCTGAAGAGCTGAGGGACAGCACCCAGGCCCAGAGTTCAAGCCCCAAACTGACCAAAAAAAAAAAAAAAAAAAAATCCCTCCCTACACAAATTTTGTGGGTTTCATTGTGTGATTTGCTAAGTATTTTCCTCCAGTCCTTTATTCTATGAAAATGCCATATACCCCTTAAAAAGCAGCCACTGGTACAGCCATGAGCAAGCACAAGCTTTGCTCAACGCCTTCTAGAGCCCCAGACCAGTGGGGACTGCCTGACCTGGGCACTGCGGGACCCTGACTTCCTACCACACCCTCACCTGCAGCTGCTGGCTGCAGCCTTCTGAACTTGGTTCCCCTTGGGATGTTCCTGCTCCTCTCACCGAGGCCTGCCCTGATTCCGGCCTCCCCCTCCACAGCCTCCCCTCCTACAATCTGCCCCAGCCTTTGTCTTTGTCTCACAGTCTCCTTCCACGTCATGCTCCCTGGGCTGTGGGCTGGGCGAGAGCCGGGGACACCAGGCTCTGATCTGTGCACTGGACCAGCCAGCCCAGTGCCTGGCACCGTGGCTGGCTCACCGTCAGAGCTCAGCTAAGGGCACACACACCTCCCAGCTGGAGCAGAGCAAACACAGTCCTGGCTCCAAGACAGAGGAGGAGCACGCTCTCTAGAAAGAGGGGCCGAGTGCAAAGGGGCTGGAGTCTGGGGGTGGGGGGAGCTCTCTCCTCCAGAGAGGAGCCATCTGGCCAGAGAAGATTGCCCTGTAAAGCGTCTGCAGCACCCCCTTCCAGAACTTTCTCTGTACCCTGGGGAGCTGACTCCATAGCTGAGGCCCTGAATTTATTTTTTTTATTTTTTTTATTTTTTGCATTTCCTTGGGATTTGCTGCCAGGGAAGGAAGGGGAGGCCAGGACCCTCAAGTTAAGCTCTGCACCATTAACAGTCGGCTTCCCAGGCTGGGGTTTGGGGGGGGGGCGTGCTGCAGCTCTCTGGGGTGCTGTTGGCAGATCCGGAGTAAGGGCTGGGCAGCTGTTTATCTCCCAAGAACAGAGCTGCAGCTACCACAAGCCTGGCCTCACCGGGGATCACAGATGCGGGATTTGCTTTTTCATTAGTTTAATGCTGCCTTTATTAACTGGGCGCATGAAAGGAGAGGCCTGCACGTGCGCCAGGCCCCCTCTCCTGGCCGGGAGGAGGCAGGGAGGAAGCCGGGAGGAGGCCGCCAGGGCCAAGGCACCCAGGGACTTGCAGAGGAAATGACTTGAGATGCTTCTGCCATTTGCAAATGGAGAGCAGGAAAGCGGGCTGCACCTAGGGCTCACTTGGGAAGAAGCAGGGTGGGGTGGGGGAGCAGGAGGCGCCACCCCTCCAGCACCATCAATCACAACTAATCACAATTCATCCATCAATCACCTTCTTTGCCCCTTGTTCCTCTTCCACCCCATCGCCGATGACGATGTAGACGGCTTTGCGGCCGAACCTCTGTATGATCCTCTCGAAGCAGCTCTCCTTCCCTGCATGGTGACGGGGGGGGGGGGGGGGGGGGGGTGGTGAGAATGGGGGGATGTGTGATGTATGTGACCAGAGGGTGAGGCCCCAAGAGGAGCCCCAGGCTGCCCAGCCGTCTGTACCCCAGGCCAGCACCCGGCCTTCATCCTCCATCCTCCCGCCCAAGTGTGGGACCCAGAGACGTTGAGCAGTTGCCCTCAGCTGTGACTACACGTGTGTGAGAATGGACTACAGATGGGTGAGGCCCTGGGTTCCATCTCCAAAAAGGCAAGAATGAATAGAACTCCCAAATGAACAACAAAAAACCCAAGCAAAGCAGACAACCCCCTCCCAAAAAAAAAAAAAAATCAGGCCAGAGGTGCAGCTCAGCGCACCTGGACCTCAAATCTGATCCCTATGCTAAGAACTTTTAGTCAGGTGCCAGTGGTCCATGCTTGTAACCCTAGCTACTCAGGAGGCTGAGACCAGAGGACTGTGGTTTGAAACCAGACCAGACAGGCCCAAGAGATTCTCATCTCCAATTATCCACCAAGAAGCCAGAGTGGTGCTGTGGCTCAAGTGGTAGAGCACCAGCCTTGAGCATAAAAGCTCAGGTCAGTGCCCAAGTGCTGAGCTTAAGCCCTGGTATTAGCAACACACACGAAAGTTTTATATTGTTATTTCTCCACAGTGAAAAAATTAAAAGAACAAATGCAACAGTGGTACTCACTAGATACAATGTTGAAAAATAATTATACAACTTGTGGGTGGGGTGGGAGGGAAAAACTGGAAGAGAGTGAGGGAAGGGGTGACATTACCCCAAAAGAAACGTACTCTACCTGACTTATGTAACTGTACCTGTGCTGAACATGTACATGTACTGTAACCATATCACCTTTATAATAACAATACAAAGAATCCTTTAAAATCTCAGTGTAGTGGCATACACCTGGAATCCCAGCTCCTTGAGAGGTGGAGGTAAGAGGATGAGTTTAAGCCCAGCCCAGGGGAAAAAGTTATCAAGACCTTGTCTCAAAAAACAAAGCAAACAGGGGTAGAGCACTTTGTCTTGCATGTGCCAGACACTGGGTTCAACCTCCAGTACTGAAAAAAAAAGGAAAAGAAAAGAGGCTGGGAGTCTCCCAGGACCTCCATGCTGGCCCGAACGGCATGACATTGTGTTCAAAGTTGGGAAAAAGCTGGGTGCTGGTGGCTTATGCCTGTAATCTTAGCTACTCAGAAGGCTGAGATCTGAGGATCCTGAGCAGAATAGTCCCACTGAGACCCTTATGTCCAATAAACTACTCAAAAAAGCTGGAAGTGGTGCTGTGGCGCAACTGGTAGAACACTAACCCTGAGCACCAAGAGGTTCAGAGACAGCGCTCAGACCCTGAGTTTAAGCCCCAGGGCCAGGAAAAAAAGAATTAAGAAAAAAAAAAAGTTGGGGAAAATCAGTCCAGGCCAAACCCCCCCCCCCCACAAGATGGTGCTCAGAAAACACCTACAAATGACTAGAAATTGAGTTTTTGTTTTGCTCCAGAAAAAGAGAAGGGTGAACGTTTCCAACTGGAAGCATCTCAGCTGACTGTGTGTGTGTGTGTGCGCGTGTGCAAGCATGTGTGTGTATGTGTGTGTGTGTGTACATGTGTGTGATACTGAGATTGGAACTCAGGACCTCTCGCTCGCTGCTTGCTTGGCTGGTGTTCTACCACATGAGCCACGTCTCCAGCAGGAACAGATTTCTTTGGCTTTTTCATACATTCGGAAGAGGATAAAATATGATCTGCTCCCCTCGCCCACCCGAGGGGATGGGTGGTGTGGGAGGGAGGGACTGCAAGCGTGACCCACAACCCCTTCCCCAGGAAGCAGACAGGATGAGCAGCCAACATCAGGCGCTCTGCGTCGGAGCAAGTAGTCAGCACTGTCCCGTCCCCATTCCTGTGCCCCCCTCCCACCCCCTGCCCCTGGCCTCAAGGATGCCCCTGCCCACCTGTCTTGGTGGCGCTGTAGATATTCTCGATGGGAAACACAGAGCCCAAGCCGTACAGCAGGACCTTGGCCAGGGCGGGAATGAGCTGTGTGGTGGTGACCAGGACATTGACACAGTTGGGCCTGAGGACAAGGGAGACGCTGGTTAAGACCAGAGGCCCCGCAAGGGGAGGCCTGCCCTGTCTGGGATCTAGGCTGGAGCCATCTTAAAGGGGTGGGAAGCAGGGAGCCACGGCTCTTCTTCCTGTAAGCCCCATGCTGCCTGATCCTGGAAAGCAATATGGCTGCCATTCTTGCTTGATTTGCAGGCCTGTGGTTTGTTGCTGTTTGTTTTTGTAAGAGCCACACACGCTGAATCAGCCCCAGGGTCCCAGGGAGTGGAATGGAGCCACATGGGACGAGCGCAGGGCAAGTGGGAGAAGTGGGCACGGTGGTACATAAAGGCTCTGGTCTTGAGAGCCCAGAAACCTGGAATCCTGCTGGGCCCCAGGCGGTCGCCTCAGCCATGCCAGTAACTCCAGCCCTGGGAAGTGTGTGGAAATGGACACGCAGCCGTTGGGTGCCGGGAGGAGGCGGGTGGCGTGGGGAACGGGCTGCCGCTTGCCTGGAGTTGATGAGGGTCAGCGCCTTCAGGGAGTGCGTTAGCCACAGGTCTGTAAGAGCCTCCAGCTCCGCCCGCAGCTGCAGCCACGTCTCTCTCTTGGGAGCGCCAATCAAGCCTGTGCACAGAGGAAGACCAGTTGTGTTAGAAGAGTCTACACAGAGGCAGGGAAGGGGTGTTCAAAATCAGAGCACCCCAAAACTCCCCTTGATTCACCGTCTCCTTCTCCCCTTATCCTGGGACCAACTGACCATAGATTGTTCTACCTATCTGTCATCTGTTCATTCATGCATCCATCTATCCATGCATCATCCATCCATCCACCTATCCAACTGTCCATCAGCCTTCCATCTACCCACTTACCTGTCCATCAATTCATCCACCTATGCACCCACCTGTAATCCGCCCATCCATCCATCCATCCATCCATCCATCCATCCATCCATCCATCCATCCATCCATCCATATGCATCCATTGTCTATCCATCCACCCTCCCATTCACAATCCCCTCAGTCATCCGTACATCCAGCTACCTACTTATTCATCAATTTATTCACCTATACACCCACCTGTCTGTCTATCTATCTATTTATCTATATATCCATCCATCCATCCATCCATCCATCCATCCATCCACACCTTCACAGTCATGTAATTGGCATCGAATGTGTTGATGTGAAGAGAATATACAGATAATGGGGCTAATGCTATTATGGTAGAGATAAATAGTTTATAAGATAAAAAGCAACAATGACTGGCGCCCATCCAATTCTCACTATGTGCATGGCCCTGTGTGTTTAGGACAGCTTACTTCATTTCACTCCCACAGCCTCCGAAGGGGACACTACTTTCATTTTTATTTTTTTGAGGTGAGGAAACAGGCTTGGTGAGGTCGACTGACTTGTTCAGTACAGGAGGAAACAGTGGAGACAGGGTTGGCAAGAGCCTGGGCCCTTTAAGATAAAGTCCAGGGCTCCCAGGTTAGTCCTGCCTCTACTTACAGCCAGTCTTACCTGCTACCATAGTCCTGATGTCCTGCTATCCCAGGCCTCTTTTTCTGTCCATTGAGGTGTCAAGCCTGCTCCTGCCACAGGACCTTTGCACACACCATTCCAGAACCTGGACCAATCTCCTCTGTTCTCACCTCCGCTTTTGTCTGGCTAACTCCCTCCCTGTGCATTTAGGGCCATGTCCCTGTGGTTTATGCTGTCCCAACCCATGGACCCCTTCCCAGCACTCCTCCTATCTCTCTGGTTTAAAATGGATCATGCACTGTGTCTCCATGCAGCCACAAGCCTGTTTGCTCCCTTGGGCAAGGACTAAGTGTGGCTTGTGGACAAGGGGGAGGGGGAGTAGCAGGGCTGCCAAGTTTGAGAACCAGTAACTTCCAACCCTCCTTCGACCTCAGTGTTGCCGGTCACTGGGGAAACTCATCAGAAGTGCAGATTCGAAGACACTCACCTGGGTGAGTGGGGGCTAAGTCATGCATTTCTTTTTTTTTCTTCATTTTCTGGGAACAAGATCTTGCAATGTAGTCCAGGATGGCCCTCTTCAACTCTCAATTATCCTGCTGGGATTGCAGGCATACACTACCATGCCTGGCTGAAGCCACACATTTCTAACCAGCTTGCAGGATGATGGCCTTGTGACTGTTCCAAGGACGGTGTCTGGCCCTTAGCATCCTCGAGGGACTGCGGTTCCTGTCTCCCTGGGTTCCAGACTTGGCCCAGGCAGGGCTTAGGAGCCTGACTTCCTCCACACACCTCAGGTGTCACCTAGGCTGCAGCTGGGGTGATGTCTGACGTCTCCAAGCCCCAGCTTCTGCATCCTATGATCTGATCTGTGACCTCACTCAGTGAGCACTTGGTACCTGCCATTCAACTACTGTGGCCCACAGGCCTCCCCGGACCCTTCCTTTCTTCAGACCCATTTCAAGGACTCCCATCATCCAGGTACCCAGGGGTGGAGCTTGCTAGGCTCCACCATGTTCTGGGCCAAGAGTCTCCGGCAGTTCCATGGCACAAGCTGAGGTGCATGAGCTCCCAGCAGTGCCTGGCCCTGGGACGGGTGTGGAGGGGACACCTAGGGGCCGGTCTGCCCCCTCCTGCTTGGCCTGACCCTGCTTCTGCCGGCCACTTACCACCCACGTTGTTGCGGTAGGTGTTGTACATCTCCTTCACGCGCCGGTAGCGGAAGGCCAGCTTCCTCATCCAGTCCACGCCGCCATGCACGCCCGCGCCCAGGCACAGGCCCGCCCCCGGCGCCGTGCTGTGAAAGCCGTCCGTGGAGAAGTTGTAAGTGCTGGGGAGGTGGACACAGGTGGCGTGAGTGTGAGCAGACCAGGCCCCGCAGACCCGCCACAGGCCCTGGGGTATCGCTGGGGCGCACAGGGCATTGTGGGTGAGCCCCCGGGGATTAAGATGCAGGCTTGGAAGATCCCTAAGAATCTATCAGCTGCTTAGAAAGTTCTTTGTCTCAAAAAAAAAAAAAAAGAAAAGCTCTGACAGCCAGGTACCTGGTATGCTCGTTACCCTAGCTACTCAAGGGGCTGAGATCTGAGGATCATGGTTCAAAGCCAGTGCAGGCAGGAAATTCCATGAGACTTTGGCCTCAGACCATGATCGCCATGCAGCCCATGTGTAGCTAGAATTGCAGGCATGAGACACCATGCCCAGTTCGGTCTTATAATATTTTTGATGGGTCTAGAGATGTGGAATTGTAATAGTTTTGAATAAGTAACTGAGGTCACACTTTTAGATCTCCTAGAGGAGAACTTGGGATTTTCCAGCCACATTCTTCTGCAAGCTACCTTGTTTCTGACAGCTTCACCTGACTTCTAGAATCCATGTCCTTGGAGCACTGTCCCTAGAAACTAGACACCCACTTCAGCACTCAAGAATTGATTTTGAGTTTCACCCGCATCACTTTAAAAAATGTACAAGGCAATGGTTGTAAGCAAATCTCTGAACAACGTGTATCACTTTTAAATGGTGGGGATTTGAGGAACTGATTTTTGAATTAGGAAAGGTGAGTTCATCTATTCATCCACCCACCCATCCATCCATCCACCCACCCATCATCAATCCATCTATCATCCATCATCCATCACCCACCCATCATCCATCCAGCCAGCCATCTGCCCATCATCTCTCCATCATCCATCCACTCACCCATTGTCCATCCATCCATCCATCATCCATCCACCTCCAACCTATCATCAATAACATCATCCATCTACCCACCCACCCATCATCCATCCATCATCTAGCCAGCCAGCCAGAGGTCTTTTCTTCCCCCAATTCCTACCTTAAATCTTGGCCATTGTCATCAGATGAGACATCATCTACGTGGATCTGGTCACAATCCTTGGAAAATTCACCAAGAAGAGAGAAGAGCAGTGGTGAGCTGTCTTTAAGGGTGGGCTTCCTGGGCTGGCGGTGTGGCTCTTGCCCAGTATGTCCCAGGCTTCACCCCAGCACTGGACAAAGAGGAGAGGGAAGCTGCTCTCCCATGCTGAGTGGTGGGGTGAGCGCTGGATTGGGGGACAGGAGTCTTGGGGTCAGAGGCCTTTGGATAAAGTCTCCTTTGTCTTGGGTCTCTTTATAAATGAGCAGATAACTAGAAATAAAATGTATATATTTGTCTTCCCAACCAAGACAGTTTTGTAAGCAAAGAGCAATGTTATCAATAACAGGGTGGGTAGACACAAGACAGGATTCCCTAGTGTCTAGAGCCCAGGAACAATGGTGCCCTGGCTGCACTGGCCTTGCTCAGGTGCTTCCTGCTTGGAGAGCTCTTCCCCTTCCATGGGGTGATGATGTCTCAAGTCTCCAAGCCTCAGCTTCTGTACCCCATGATCTGATCTGTGACTTCACTCAGTGAGCACTTGGCGCCTGCCATTCAACCACTGTGGCCCACAGGCCTCCCCAGATCCTTCCTTCCCTCAGACCCATTTCAAGGACTCCATAGCCCCAGGAACCCAGCGGTGGCCATGCTGGATTCTGTGAGTTTCTCTGTCAGTTGAGAAACTTGTCTGGACAGGCTCTTTACAGGATGAAGGTGTAGCTCCAACTCCTGTGCTGGGCTGATAGGAGCGTTGGTGGAGGAGCTGGCAACCTGATCTCTGCATGCTAAATTAAGGGAGGGCTGAGTGAGTGTGTGTATGTGTGTGTGTGTGTGTGTGTGTGTGTGTGTGTGTGTGTGTGTGTGTGTATGTGTGTGTGTGTGTGTGTGTGTGTGTGAGAGAGAGAGAGAGAGAGAGAGCCTACTGGTACTCGGGCTTGAACTTGGGACTTGGGTACTATCTAGAAGTTTCACTTCCGGCTTTTTCATGGTTCATTGGAGGCAAGAGTCCCAAGGACTTTCCTGCCTGGGCTGGCTTTGAACCATGATCCTCAGATCTCAGCCTCCTGAATACCTAGCATTAAGAGCATGAGCCACTGGCTCCTGGCAGAAAAAAAAAAAAAACAAAAACAGGAGGGTTTTAAACAATGGCCAAATGTAAACTCGGGGATGTCTCTGTCTTTGTTTCTCTGTCTCGGTCTCTCTTGTCTCTCTCTCTGGCTGTTTGGGGGATTCATGCCACCTGCAGCGCAGCACCTGCATCTCCCAGGTTTGCTCCCCAGCAGCTGGCCTGGCTGTGGCTCTGCAGGCTCCAGAGTCTGAGCTGTGCAGCCCACTTAGAAGCAGGGCTCAAGGACCAGCCAGCCCCAGATGCCCACGTGCTCATAAACTGGCTTTAAGAGGCATGCCCAGAAATGGGGAAAACAGAACAAACAGCAGATTTCCCCAGTGCCCTGAGGCTGCCTCCCTCAGACCCTAGACCTCCCCCACCCCCACCACGCTCCCACCCCACCCCAGGGCTCCTGGGCAGGGATCCACGGCTGCCCGTGTCAGGGGAAAGGCATGTGGGAAGGCCGTTTTCCTCATTTGCGAGGGGATTGTCGGGGCCCTAAACTGAGACAACAGTAGCGATCACATTTCGGATTTCATAAAATACCACGACGCCCTGCTAGACGCTACCTCATACTGCACAGCTGACCCAGATAGAGTTACCTGCGGGGCAGGGCCAGGGCCTGGACACTGCATAGGACAGGGGCCTGCAGGGTCTCCTGGAGGAGACATTGACCTAATGCTGCCCCTGCCCCAGCGGTGTGGGGGAGTGGCCTCTCCCTGGGGCTCCAAGCAGGAACAGCTGGCACAGAGAGATGAAGAGTTGCATGGCGCACATGGGGCCGTACCCACGGCCATCCCTGCCTCCAGGAACTTCTGCTTCTGACCCAGAGAAACACCTGCAGAGAGCTTCGCAAGGCCGCCTGCGGTGCAGGGAGACCCCAGAAGCTCCCCCCAACCCCAGCCTGTGCTTTTGATGGCCTCAGGAAGAAGGGCACAGTGTCAGAGCCGCTTGGGGGCCCGTGCCCAGCAGCTCAGCAGATCCAGGCAGGCCGCAGGGCAGCTACGGCATCAGGCGTGCACCCAGGTGGGTGCATATCCAGTCCTCACTATCTGCTGAGAGCTAGGCTGCTTTATACACACAGGTGCCTCCGTGGGAAAGGAAAGATCTAGAAGTTTGCACATCTGGCAGGAAGCAGCAGCTCTGTACAGAAGACACCGGGGTTGGCCTGTGGCCAAAGGAGTTGTAGCCTTACTGAAAGCTCCTTCTTTAACATTTTTTTTTAGTGCTGGTCCTGGGGCTTGAATTCAGCCTCACATGCCTCCTTTGCTTTTTTCACTCAAGGCTGGTGCTCTACCACTTGAACTACATCTTAACTTCTGACTTTTTTTTTTTTGCCAGTCCTGGGGCTTGAACTCAGGGCCTGGGTGCTATCTCTGAGCCTCTTTATGTTCAGAGCTAGCAACTCTGCCGCTTGAGCCACAGCTCCACTTGCAGCTTTTCGGGTAACTAGCTGGAAGGTCAGAGGCTCATGAACTTTTCCCACCCGGACTAACCGCTAACCATCACCTCGGATGTCTGCGTCTCGTGGACAGGTGTGAGCCACCGATGCCTGCTGGGCTGTGGGGTTTGTGATCGGCTTCGTATTTACCACATGAAGCTCCAGAAATACTGCCCAGCATGCCCTACGCTGTGCCAGGGCCCTGTCCTCCTCAGCCAGTCTTCCCTGGGGACTGGTTGTTGTTCTGTTGTTGGTTTTGGTGGTGGTGGTATTGTTGGTCATGGGGCTTGAATGCGGGCCTGAGAGCTGTCCCTCAGCTCTTCAGCTCAAGGCAAGCGCTCTACCACTTGAACTACAGCACCACTTTTGGTGAGATAAGATTCTCATGGCCGTTCCTGCCCATGCTAGCTTTGAAACTTGATCCTCATATCTCAGCCTCCTGAATAGCTAGGATGACAGGCGTGAGCCACCAGCACCCGGCTGTTGTTCTGTTTTGTAAGTGGAAAGCCCAGCCTTTGTGGCTGGTGTGGACCGGCTAGAACACAAGGTTTTACACTGCAGCAAGAAACCAGCAACATTTCCCAATGAGAAATATAACTAATGCCCTTGCCAGCCAGGATGGGCTGGCACCTCACACCTTTGCCCCATTTCCTAGTAGGAGAACAGAAATCTCTCTTCCACAGCTAGTGCTTTGGCAGGCAGCCTCTGGTTTTCATTCCGATGTACTGATTTAAGTCAGAAAAGCTCCACCCTAATCCAGCCCAAAATCCTGGCAGGAAGATGTTTGTCCTTTCATTGGAACAATTGCCTTGTTTCTCTCTTTGCTTTGGCTACTAGGAAGCTCACAGATCAACTCTAAGCTTGACTGCAATGGTTATCTTGAGCCTGGATTTTCAGTTTTGGAGGGAGTACAACTCTTTACCCTTAATCATGACACATTTATTCTTTTAAGTCTCTTTCTGTCTGCTTTAACAGCTCCACTTTAAATGTTTTCCATTTGAAATTCTTCCCAGATCTTTGGGACACAGGCTGGGTCCAATAAACAAATGAATTGACTTCTGAAGGTGCTCTTCCTGCTTTGCCTACCTCCCTTGCGTCTTGTCCAGGGCTAGGAAGCCTCAAACTAAATAAATGTATTATTCGCCTGCTATCTTCTAAAACATGTGTTTACACAGGTGCCAGTGGCTGATGCCTGTCAACCTAGCTATGCAGGAGGCTGAGATAGAAAGATCGCGGTTCAAAGCCAGTCAGAGCAGGAAAGTCCAAGAGACTCTATCTCCAATGAACCATCAGAAAACCAGAAGTGGGGCTGCATCTCAAAGTGTTAGAGCACTAGCCTTGAGTGAAAGAGCTCAGGGACAGCACCTGGGCCCTGAGTTCAAGCCCCATGAACAGAAATAAAAAAGAAAAGAAAAAGGAAAAAGTGGAGCTTCTCATAATAGAGAGGAGGAAAGGAAAACCGCCCAGCCCCACCCGGCCCTGCATGCACAAACCTCCAGGTCATTGAAGAACAGGTGCGTGTCTGCCAGGTTGAAGATCATCTCTTCCATCATGAGGCCGATACGCACAGACGTGGTGGTGTCCTGTGGAGAGATGGAGCCAAACCTGTGAGCGCAGCCTCCCTCCAGGCCCCTGCCCTAGGTGGACTGGGCCCTGGATCCTGGGACCCAGCACGGTTTCCTCGTGGAGCTCATGATCCAGTCCTCTCAGCCACACTCGCCCTCTGGGACTCCCAGAAAGCGGCCCTGGGAGGGCAAGGATGCACCACACAAGTTCCGGGGCTCCTGGGCGCCTGCGTGGGTTGGGACTCCCTCCTGGGTACCCCTCTGGCTCCTGCTGTTTTAACATCCACACTGGTTGACAGAAGATGTCCAAAAGGGACAAAGTCACAAGCCCAGGGCCCATCTCCCCAGGGAGTACTGGGCTGCCATTAGGAAGCGAAGTGACACCGAAGCCACGGCTGTGAGGCAGGCCGTGCCCCCCACCCCTGTTACCTCCCTCTACGTTTGGGGGGGCTCCCAGAGGTGTGCTTCCCATTGGAAGGGGGATGGATACTAGATGCTGGGCGGGGGGGGGGGGCGGGGGGGGGTGGGGAGGGAGGATGGCAAAGCACCCGCTTTGCGGCAGGTGAACCTGGCCCAGCTCTGAGCCCAGTGGAGTCTGTTTTCTCAGCTGTGTGTATTTTTTGGGTTCTAGGAAGGAGAGTGGAGAGTGGACTGTGTATTCCACAAAGCCTAAAGATTTTATAAAACCCTTTTTATTTATGTTTACCGTAAAAGGTCCGCCAGTCCCTATCCCAGTCTCCCCGCTGAACTCAGGTGTGGCCTGTGCCTGGCTTTGCCCCAGGGTTGTCTCCTTTTTCCCCTTCTGGTTAAGCTTTGGGGACTGGAGTTGGATCCCATTCTCTCTCTCTCTCCCTGTGTCACAGGACTGGCCATGTTCCTGATAGCCGGGATCCAGGGGACGGGCCACACCAAGCACTGCAGCTCCCCCGGCATGGGGAGGAGACTGAGAAGTGAAGCCATGGGGGATGTTTGTTACTGCAGCATACCGGCACCTACTCTGACTGATGCCTGTGGGGAATACATGACACACTGGCCCTGCCTATGCCCTGTGATGCTCTGGAGCCCTAAAAAATCTAGGTACCCAGGCCACACCCCAGACCAACAACAAGTCTGACTTGCTGAAAGTGGGTGCGGGGGCAGGTGCCCGGAAGATTCAAATGAACAGGTGAGGGCACACGCCATCGGCCATCTTCCTGCTCCTCCCTGCATGCGTCTCTCTGTACCACAACACAAGCACCAGCCCATTCAACCTGCAGCTCCCCATGAACCACGCCTCTGGTCTGCAGCTTCCCGCGAGGGTCACACAGAGTGTCCAGGGCCACAAGTCCAGCGAGGGCCAGGACTAGCCCAGTGGCCTGGATGCAGAGTGACCCTGACCTGAGGAGCTGGCCAGGGAGACAGGAGGGCTTGCACGCACTCCATGCATGCTTTTACTTTTTAAATGTTTTTCTTTTGTTTTCTTTCTTTTTTTAATTACGTAGTTGCACAGGGGGTTTCAATTCCAGAAGTCAGGGGACGAGTACAATGCATCTTGACACATGTCAGCCCTTCCTCTTCCCTGTCCCATTCCCACCTTCAAGTTTCTAGATTTTTCTGTGTGAACTTTTCCCTCCCACGATAAAAAAGAAACAATGAACAATATCAACTTTTTGGAGCTAGAAAGAAACAGAAAAGAGAGAGAGAGAGAGAGAGAAAAGAAGCTGGGCGCTGGTGGCTCACACCTGTCATCCTAGCTACTCAGGAGGCTGAGATCTGAGGGCTGAAGTCTCCAATTAACCACCAGAAAACCAGATGTGGTGCTATGATTCAGAAGTGGAATGCTTGCCTTGAGTTGAAGAGCTCAAGGACAGTGCCCAGGCCCAGAGTTCAAGCCCCATGACCGACAAAATAAAAAAAAAAAAAAAGGAAAGGAAAGGAAAGGGAAAGAGAAAGGGAAGGGAAAGAGAAAGGGAAGGGAAAGGAAAGAAGGAAGGAAGGAAGGAAGGAAGGGAGGGAAGAAGAGGTGGAGGGAGGGATGGAAGCAGGCAGGCAGTTGTGAGCTAGCTCCACTCACAACTAGAGATCCCAGCTCAGAGCATGGTGTGAGCTGAACCCTCACTAGGACCCCAAGACCCAAGCAAGCACTCAGGCCCTTGGCAGGAACTCAGGTCAGATGAGCCACAGATGAGGAAAACAAACCTGGAGCAGGGGATGGAGGGGGCGGATCATGGGATCACTGCTTCCCCTTTGTAAGTCCACACCCCTCTAGCATGGCTAGTGACGGTCTGACCAGGTGCCAGGCCTAGTCAAGTACACCACAGCAGGAGCTGGAGCTGCCATCCAGCCTTCTGCTGCCAAAAGGACTTGGTGGGAAGTGTCCCTACAGGCCAGGACAGACAGGGAGAAAGAATTACGGCGTATGAGCAGGCATTGCTGGAAAGGCATGCATAGTTATAAGAAAGCAAATCCAAAATAGGAATAAAGTTGATGTTATGGCTGACTGGTCTCGTGGGCGCAAAGAGGAGGTGTGCACATGAGTGACATGCACTGACCAAAAGGATGGCCAAGTTTCAAGTTATTATTTTTTCTTGGGGGTGCTGATACTAGGGCTTGAACTCAGGGTCTGGGCATTCTCCTTTTGCTCAAGGCTGGCACTCTACACTTGAACCACAGCCCCACTTTCAGCTTTTTGGCGGTTAATTGAAGCTAAAAGTCTCAAGGAATTTCTCCCTGGTCTGGCTTCCAACTGTGATCCTCAGATCTCAGCCTCCTGAGGAGCTAGAATGGCAGGTGTGAGCCACCAGTGCTCGGCCTCTGTGTGTGCGTGTGTACATGTGTGTGTGATGGTGCTGAGGATGAAACCCAGGGCCTTGTGCACGTGCTCTACCCTGAGCTACACTCCCAGCTCTGAAAATTGAATTCTTGTATTTTGCAAAGTCCAAGATGGTGCTGAAAACAGAAAAAAAAAAATCTCAAGAAGCAGAGATGAAGTCTGTCACTCAGAAGCCTGGATTAAATTGCCACTCCCATCCCTTAAATCAGCCCAAAGTTGTGGCTTCTGGGCAAAAAGAGTTGGTGGGCCCCTGGGCTATGGTTTTTCATATACTTTTCTTTGTAGAACTCCATGAATTTAAAACTATACACAAATTGGAAGTAACGTTGTGGCTAAGTGGTAGAGCACCAGCCTTAAGCAATAAAGCCAGGAAAGAGTTCAAGGCCTTGAGGTCAAGCCCCAGTGCTGGCACAAATAATCAAACAAAACTATATGTAGGTAATATTGATTGGGTTGAAAATTAAAAAATAACAGGCGTACATTTGGTAATTCAATTTTTCATGAGTTGTTCTAGGGGAAAATTCATGCTTGTGAAAAAGGAGCCATAATGAAAGATGTGTTTACAGATGTATTGGTAAACTGCAAAAGACTGGGATTAATTAGCTGTATAGGAGACTAGAAAAACAAAACATAGGAGCAGGGTACTGGTGTTCACTCCTGTAATCCCAGCCACTTGGGAGGCTGAGCTCTGAGGATCTCTTTTCAAAGCCAGGCAGAAAACTCCACCAGACTCATGTCCAATTAAGCAGTTAAGATCCCAGCCTGGAGGTGTGGCTTGAATGGTAGAGCACTACTCTTGTTCAAGAAAGCACATATAGGCAGGCACCAGTGGCTCACGCCTGTAATACTAGCTATTTAGGAGGTTGAGATCTGAGGATTGCAGTTCACAGAGAGCCCAGGCAGGAACATCCTGTGAGACTCTTATCTCCAATTAACACCAGAAAATGGAAAGTGGTGCTGTGGCTTGAGTGGTAGAGTGCTAGCCTTGAGCTGAAGAGCTCAGGGACAGCGCCCAGGCCCTGAGTTCAAGACCCACAACCAAAAAGCAAGCAGAGTCTGAAGAAACAGGAGCTAAAAGTGGTGGCCAAAGCGAACTAACATTCTACCTAGAATACTCCAATGTATGTAAAGGCAAAGCACTAAAGGATTTATTTTGTGATGTTAAAAAAAAATTAAAGAGGGCTGGGAAAGTGGCTCAGTGGTAGAGTGCTTGCCTTGCATGCATGAGGCCCTGGGTTCGATTCCTCAGCACCACATATGCAAAAAGAAAAAAAGCCAGAAGTCGCGCTGTGGCTCAAGTGGTAGAGCGCTAGCCTTGAGCTGAAGAGCTGAGGGACAGCGCCCAGGCTCAGAGTTCAGGCCCCACGACCGGACCCCCCCCCAAAAAAAAATTAAAGAACCCAGCACCCATACCGTCTTTGAGTACATGCCGTCTGCGGGAGTTTGCTGAAATTCTGCTTGTTTGTATAGTTAGTGCGCCTGTTCCCTACCCAGGAGACTTAAGGACAGCTGGCTGTGCAGGAAAAGGTGGGTCTATAGCCCAGAAAAGAGCCCCTGTCCCAGGAGGAACACAATGCTTCCTCTGCACCCCCCCTCCCCCAGCAGATCACTTCACCCAAGCAGAAACCTTTTTACAAGCATTGCAACAACTGGGAAATTCAAAGGAAAAGCCATTTGGTAGAGGCTGGATATTAATTTATAAGAAGCACATCTGGAGTGAGGGCCAGGGGAAAACCTTCCATCTCTTCTCAGGCTGCCTGCTGAGTGCAGTTATAACTCTCTGTAAACCCAGCCCCGCCCTGCTGGCTCAGGTCACCCAGAACATGCACCTGACCCAATCAGATAAAGGTTGAACACAGGGCAGGCGTGTGTGTGTGTGTGTGTGTGTGTGTGTGTGTGTGTGTGTGTGTGTGTGTGTGTGTGTGTGTGTGTAATAGGCTGGATGCTGGTGGCTCATGCCTGTAATCCTAACTACTCAGGAGGATGAGATCTGAGAATCAAGGTTCAAAGCCAGCCTGGGCTTAGTCAGTGACTCTTATCTCCAATTAACTCAAAGAGCTGGAAGTGGAGCTGCAATTCAAGTAAGTATAGCACCAGTCTTGAGCACTAAAGCTCAAGGACAGCACCCTGGTCCTGATTTCAAGCCCCAGGACTGGTACAAAAGCACATACAAAAGCAAAAGAAACACAGGAGAAGGATGACTGAT